CAGGAGGGCAGGGTTTCGGCCTGCCCTCAGGCACAACGAGCCACATGAGCTGCCGGCAGCCCTGGGCGCCCCCAGGCTGCACCCAGGCTCCCTCCTCCGCAGCCACGGCAGGACGAGCACAAGTACTAGCTGCCCCCTTCAGCTCTGCCGTCCCTTGGCAACCTGCATGCACTTCTCTTACCCTCTCATCACCTGTCAAGCTCTCCAAACACGCAGCGCCTGCCCAGCTGGTCTATTAGCTTAGTGCTTGGCTTGCTACAGTTCCCAGAACCGCTGCTGCCAAGCCCRTGCCTGCTGCACGGCCAGAAAGTCTAGCAAGAAAGGAGAAGCAGCTGTGAAAAAGTCCTACCTTGTACAAGCTCAGACAAACCCAAACAGCTTACAAAAAAATGGAGACTTGAATAAAAATTAAAGCACTAACAATTATGAATGGATAAAATGTGTGTCCACGTGCTAACGGGGMGGGGAGATCTGCCCTCCACTGCTTTTTGGAGCAGGTAGCAGTGGGAGGAGGAGTGAGAACAAGGCCAGCTTTGGGGGCCGCTGGAGACCCGAGGGGCTCCTCGCCAGGGCCACGCTGTGTCCCACGTGTCCCTCTGGGCCTCCGCCCCGGGCATCCCGTGGCAGCGGGACCAGCAGGACGGGGCTGACGCTCCAAGCAGACAGTGGGAAAGGCAGTGCCAAGCGYAGGAGGCAGGGCCCTCCTCGCACCGCTCCCTACAACGGCACGGGATGTCTCTCAAGAACAGCCACCGATCTGCTAACACTGCAAAATCCCTCTTCTTCCAAGTCCTAAGACACCAGCTTCTTCAAGCACCGGGTATCTTCAATACTTTCAATACCATTTTACTGCTCCCTGGTTATTGATGCCCTGAGGCTTTCCTGCTTTGATGGCACTGCCATTCCCTCCATCCGTGCTGGGAAAGCACACAGCACTGGAGCAGCCCCGGCATTTGCTCCAGTGCTGCCCTTCCCTCCTTCGAGCCCCCAAACCATACAGTTTTCTARTACATGACAACACGATCTGACCTCGGCACTCAACTATGCACCCAGCACACACGAGACACCCCATGAGAACATGRGAGACTTGTTTTAAGGTCTAACAAATGCAGCAAGCTGAGAAGCTGGTATTTAACCAGCACATTAAAGTGCAGCACACATCTGGAAAAAATAGCTCTAATAAAAACTTATAAATATATGCAGAAAGTTCTTAAAGAGTTCGGCATGTCTCTGTGAGCCCTGCCAATTGCACTAGTTCATAAGGGTTTCTTGGTGAATAAACACAGCAATTGGCTCAGCACACATTTTGCTGGGCTATACTCAAGCAGATCCAGGGGCTTGAGCTAGAGTTTGATTTCACTGGATTACAGGAAGAAACTGATAGTTGTCAGTAGCAAGTTATATTAGTCCCAAGACACCCTGAATTTCTACAGTACAAACAACCGCAATTAAGTGTGGCAGGAAAACTATGTTTTCTTCCCTACTCATGCCTAGATAAGGACTGGAAGTTTTCAAGGAGGTTAATTCCACGACGGACACAAACAGAGTCTAGCTACTGTTGTCGTAGGATCCACTTCGTGGGAGACTGAAGAGCTGAGGGACTGGGAGCAGCAGCAGTGCCCTCGTGCACACAGGTCGCACCGTGCGCCCCGCTTGCTGTTTACACGAGGCTCCCGTCCCGGCGAGCACTGACCATCTCCCCGCGCGCGGCCGCGGCACCCACGACGCGCACAACAGCACCCAGCTCCACCGCAGGAAAACGCTGCGTGTTCTCCAGCTGCACCCGGCCGGGCCGGTCCCGACGCTCTGCGGCAGCCCGGGCACTTGTGCTTTGCAGTAGTTTCTAAAGCAAAGCAGGTAGATGCCTTTTATTCCCCAAATGCTTAGGCAAATGTCCTGTAATGACGGGTAAACCTCCGACCCGGGGAAGGGCTCTTCTGGAGGCCAGACCTCCAGGCCATCATCCCCCTTCAAATGCAACCAGATAATGTTTGTACAAATGCAGATGAAGTACTGAATTTTGCATTGAGAAAGTTTATCTTCCTGTAACAATTATCTCAGGAAGATGCAAGTTATTTCTCACATTAGAGGACTGAGACTTGTGAAGAGATTTTCTGCAGAGATTTGATTTTGGAACAGGCGCCATGGAAAGAACTCTAGGACATGCCCACGTTAGTCTGTTGGCCACAGCACAAACACACRTTAAACCTGTTCCTGCCGCTTTGGTGGGAAAATGCAGAAAATGCTGGGAGGGATTGGGAAGGGAGGGCAGCCGGGCGGGTGCCCCGGGCGCTGGCGGCTCCGCTCGGCTTCGCGATGACACCTAGCGGCACCGGCCGGGCAGCGGGCGGTCACCAACAGCACCGAGACGGGTATTCCAGGACTGCTGCCCTGGGCATGACCTCCTCCAAACTGAGGAGCCTTCCTCTTTCTCTCTTTTTCCTCTTTTTGTCCTTAGCGGATACCTAAGTCACAAAGACATTTCCAAAGCTGCTCAAACATTTACCAAGTTCACACAGGACGTTACAGCTTTGGGTTTATCGATCTAGATCTATCTTGAGAAATTGATTGAACTCCAAGTCACAAGAGGAAAGATTAAACCATTGGTAAGATTTATACTGGTCCATTAAAGTAGTCAAAAATATTACATTTCAGGATTCCATATCCTAATGAATCCAAGTCAGCAGTACTTGTCCCCTAAAACATTAAATAGCAAAGACAGTGCAAGCTAAAATATTGGAATTGCAYGATTTCAATTCTTCAAATAAAATCAATTAAATCTAGCAGTAGGCTTACAAAAGATTAGATCTTCATCACAGAGATATGCTGTCAAAAGACAAAGCCATAAAATGAACTAGTCTTTCTAYCTGTTAGGAAGCCAAGAATTTCATTGATTTCAGGCACCAAGCTCATTTTAGAAAAAAATGATAATAGTGTATTTGTCTCCCACAACCATAAAAAACTAGCAAATCACAGAGCCACTTCTAATCAAAAGTAAGCAAACCATTAGTACAAGAAATCTCTTATAACTACTGCCACAAGCATTTATCAAGTTATGCTTATTTTATTACGCCTACCTTTAAAAGGATGGAAAGATTAAAAAATGAATCAAAACCAAACACAAAAAGTAGAAGGAAGCCAGGTGGAAACACAATACTCTATTACAGGTCCCTCAATAACAACATTTTTTGCCATGCAATGAGTTTACCAAGAGACCTCCCTTGCAAGTTGACCATTATCACTACATCAAATACTTTTGTTCAGACAGTTCCCTCTGCATATGCAGGAAGGATCTTAGAAGAGCACCTTTATTAACATCAATTTCCCTGTAGAAGATGATACCCAAGACATCTCCTTGAYTTCCTGTCTGCTGACAGGGACTGTAACTGAAGTGGTAACTAACCAGAAGCAACTCGCTGTCCTGCAAAGTAAAATCAGGCTGCACAAACTCTACGTGTCACCCTAAAAAGGACAGCAACCTTTTGCTGAAAACTGTAATATGTTAAACAGGAGTGCAAACATTCATCCTTTCACTTGTTTAGCACCTGCTAAAACCAACTAGATTATCAAAAGCTTTTCTAGAAGAAACTGTTACTGCAGCAGATTTGGCAATTTGTGCTTCCTACAAAGTCAACGACTGACTCTTTTTTCATATATTATATATAATATGATATTCCATGCACCCTACAGTTAACAAAGAATTGTGACATTCAGGCTTCAGCAAGTAAACTGTCTTCATAAAATCTTTTTCTTTTTTAATTAAAATACAGATGGCAGAGTCAATATCTTTTGTCTTCACTAAGATTGAGCCTGAATTTTTAGCAAAAAAAAAACAAAAATAATTACACACAAAATACAAATTAATACAAAATACAAATTAATACAAGTTACATCACACCCTCCTTTCTAACTGTCAAACCAGATACAGTGTTCATAAAAGCATACAATACCTTGCAGAATTAAAGCTTTCGACTAGTTCATCTAATGTCCGGTTATTTTTCAGGTCAGACTCCGAGACAGCCTATATTTAAAAAAAAAAAAAAAGTCAAACTCAGCAAACCACTAAATAGAAGATGTTTGTTTCTTGCATGTATATTTCAACCTCCAGCACCCTCAGCTGAATGAAGATGCATAAAGTTTAAGCATTTTTTCCTCAAAAAGTGTCACACTAAAACATCTGCTTGCTGACTCTTAGGTAATAGATAAAGCATAAAGCTAAAGCTACAAAATCCAGTATTCTTGTTCTCTAACATCTTGTTTTTTATAGCCAACTACAAACTATTTTGAAAGTCAAAGCAAGAATACTATGAACATGGCAAGAAGTTTAAGCTACAAGAAATGAAAGCCCACAAAGGGAATGTTGTCTTYTGAATACTCATGGAATAAGGACATGAACACAGCCTCACATAGCCTCAGTGATTCTGTTGGCAGCATTCCTGATGGTTTTCTTTCTCAGTGATTATCTTCGCGCATCCTTTGCCACCCCAAAGCTTTTATTACTCTTGCTCCATTCTTACTTCATCAATCCCTGGGCTTTGAGAAAGTGTACTCTCCAGAGATGTACTCTGAGAAGTCCCTAGTTTTAAMCATTGTCAAACAGATCTGTTTTCTGGTCTTTAAAATCTACTCTGATTCATGCTTTAGAAAAAGGGAAGAAAATGAGTTCTATTTTGCCATTACTCGTAACTACCATCCACTGTTTTTTAGAGCCTACCATTTTCAGAATTTCAATCAAATCCAACTGGCTTACCATGAAAAGCGAGATCAGAACCTAGGATAAGCTGCTTTCTGCACTCCTTGGTCAGAAAAGGCCTTTGAGTCAGATCACAGTAACCAGYGACCTGCAGAGCAGGTCAAACCTGCCACTAGAACGGTCCAAATGGAATATGTTTAACCTAATTTTTATAGCAAACACTTTTTTCCCCTGCTGTGCGACCTACTTCTTTACAGCTAGAGAGCTGTGTAACTGTAACTACTACATATCCAGGAATCTCCAGACACTGCTGAAGATCCCTCGAAAGATGGAGGGTAACAAACCTACTGCTAACAGGCTTGAATGCATTTAAGTTACTAGGAGCTATTAGAAGCAGCTAAGAAAAAAAATAATATTTGATCCTCCATCATCTTCCGCTTATGGAAATAGAACTGTAGCTTTTTAATTGTAAAAGCATCAACATTGGTGCAAACAGACATCGTTTCCCCCACTGAAAGGACAAGTGTTCAGATGTGATGAAAATTAATTATTTAGCAGAGTGCAAAGGGAAAATGACCYGAGATTTACTAGAAAAAAGCAACAAACCATCATGGAACAAACAGGTCACTTACCACACAACAGGTTGGGCACTGAGTTTTGTAGGACAAAAACTTTCGTATACAAAGGGAACAATCTGGAAGAACGAAAGATAGCATTTTCCAAAGGCTTTCTTCCAAATGCACCTTAACACAACACGTTAGTGTATTTTTTCTTTCTGCTATAATGGAATATATGGAAATGGTAATATATGGAAATCATTACATGATAGACACACATTGTGTAGTGACAACGTATTAAAGTTAATCCASATGATACGTGCTCGTATCATCACCAGAACGGAGGTTGCACCAGCCCCTCATCCCAGAGGCCGTTGGTGACGTCTCGCAGAGAGTCAGGACATTTGCTGACCAAGCTGCGGAGCGGTTGGCGAGGGACGTTAAGGATCAGTAGCCTCTGCATTACACTCCAGTCAATAATAAATGGCCAAGTTATCTCTTGTCTGTAAAACCAAAGGTGCAGGTTTACAAAGTCATCCTCCAGGGGCTCTCTGTCACACAGATGAGGTGCAAGGGGCCGTTCTCCAGCCCTGTGTCTTCTGGAAAAGGCACACGAGGCAGATCTGAGTGTTCACAACACCGCACACGCCTGCAGCCTTCCCCCTGCCCTCATCTGTTAACTGAATGAGCCATAAGGGCAGGATTCTCTACTAGCCCAGGCATCCSCATTCTCCTTGGAGTAAATGGGATGGGAGAAACTTAATGAAGTACAACCTTAATTACAAACTCCACAAAGCCACAGCATAGCGTGAAAAATGAATTCATTATCCTTTAGCGACTTGTCACAAATGACTGCCCGGACTCCTAGTCTAGGGCAATTCAGAAGTCTTATTATCTTTATTAAGACATTCAAAAGTCTTATTTTCCTTAAGACTTGCTTGCAAGCAGCTGAGCCAGCGCAGATGTTTTATGGGCTCACGGATCAAGCCTAGCATTAAGCGCGGGACAGCAGGCAGCGCTTCACGAAGGGAGGGCAGCAGCGGCCGGGCGCCGCGAGCGCGGCCGGGCCGGGCCGGGCCGGGCCGGGCAGGGCAGGGCAGGGCAGGGCAGGGCAGGGCCCCGCGGAGCGGCGAGCGCGGCCCGGCCGCACCCGGCGCCGCCGCGAGCCGCTACTCACAGTTGTGCGAGCACTGCGGGATCATCATGGCGATGTGGAAGTAGTCGAAGCAGATGCCGCAGCGCAGCAGGTCCTCCACGGCCTGCTGGGGGGCACAGAGCGGCTGAGCGGCGCTGCGCGGGACCGCGCGCCCCGGGCTCCCCTGCGCGCCCCACGGCATTTTGGCGGGCCCCGCCGCCGCCGCCATGTCACCCTCCCGCCGCCGCCGCCGCCGCCCGCCCGCCCGCACGCACCTTCAGAGGAGCCAGGGCGGGCGGCCACGGCGGCTCGGACGGCAGCAGCGCCGCGGCGGCCATGGCGGCAGGACGCGGCCCGGCCCAACCCGGTGTCGAGGGCGGCGCGGCCGCCGGTCACTCCGAATCCCCCGCGCGCCGCTCCGCGCCCCGGGGCGTCCGCGCGCTTCCGCCGCCGCGCGGGACGCTGGGAGCTGTAGTCCGCGGGGGCGGGGCGGCCCGCGGCACGGCCGGCCGCGCGCGGGACGCTGGGAGCTGTAGTCCGCCGCCGCTCCGCGCAGGCGCAGTAGCGCGCGGGCGCGGCCGTTGCGGACCGTTAACGGCCGCCGGCCTGCGGAGAGCGCCGCGCTCAGCGCCCCGTGCATGGGAGCCGTGTTCAGTGCCGCAGCTCTYGTTCCTTTCCCATTTCCTGATGGTTTCAGTGTCCTTCCCGCCCTGGCACGGCCAAACCCATCACCATTGCCTTTGCTCCACAGAGCCGCTGGGGCAGAGGCTCCGTGGGGTCTGCTTGGCCACCGCCACTGTGCTGGCTGTCATCGGGAAGGGACCAAGAATAACGTTTGCAGCCGCACTGTGGCCAGAGGCGAGGTGTTCTGGCTGGAAATGAAGGCTGGGCACAATGGTCAYGAGATGAGTGCCCTGCGCGCGGCGCCCTGTGCAGCGGGTGTGCGGACAGCAGGCTGCGGAGCCCGACGGGCGTGTTAGAAAACATAGCGCGTTCAGAAACACCCTTCAGCAGGGAAACTGTCCCTGCGTCCCCCCATCGCAGCGTCCCCGTCCCGCACTGCTGAGAAGCAAGTGCCTGTGCCAGTCRTTGGAGTCGCGCAGCGGTTCTGCAGCTCGACCGCCAGAACAGGGTCATTTAGAGAGCCGCCAAGGCGCCGTGTCCCCTGGTGCAGGGTGTCACCTCGCTGCGTGCTCCGTGTCCCCGTGAACGGCAGCGTCTGCCCTGGCAACAGCCCGCAGTGACGGGTTGCCATGACAACGTGCACCATCCCCGTCACGCCTGTCACCACGAGGCCAGGAGCGGCGGCCACACAGCGGCATCGCAAAACCCTGCCTGTAAGTACGGAAAGCAGCGCGTGGGCGAGAACAACAGCAAGGGGCCGGAGCGGCGGCCGTGGCTGCGCCTGCTGATGCGCTTGCGCACAGTCAGACCGGTCCGCAAGTTTGGGGAACTTCAGGCATTGCCCTAAGCAACATGGGAYAAAACACCTGAGTGTGTCTAGGTCTCAAATTCCTCGGGCGTTTTGAGCTCTGGAAAATGCTCTCCATAGAGTAGCAAATTAAAAATGTGATAAATTTAACAACACAGCACAGCGGTATCTGCACTTTCTCAACTCTACTTCCTTTTGAACTTAAAATGTGATTTTACTGGAATTTTGCTACGTATCTCAATGTGATGCTGTTGCTGGTGTGATTAATAGCTGTGTTGGAAAATGTGTGCATTTGTTGCCAGAGTCTGCATTTCTCCTGTACATAGCAATTATGTCAACATGTTTTTCTGCACAGAAAACTTCTGCCTCAACACACTTCCTTGGGCCTGTGCCACCGTCCTGCTGTCTTCCTGCCGTGCCTAATCATTAGTGTTTATCATCTCCTTTAAGTTAGCATGGAAACACACTGGCATTTCAGTAGCAGGTTACACTAAATATGGCTTGATGAAAGGAATGACTTTATCTTGGAAACAGTCACACTCGAGTATTTACAGTCTTTTAGAAAGGGCCATGGAAGGGCTGCCCTCTCCTTGCTGTTTCTAACAAACATTTGCAAAGCTGGGCAGAGTGCAGAAGATGAAATGCAGCTTCTCATTGTGCCTGCAGTTTCAGTGGACTCGCTCCTGATTGACTCTAGTCTGATCTGGTAGCATGAAGTCACGCTCCATCAACTGGCACTCAATAATTCTATTTATTATTGTGTGCATGACGGGGGTGGTCAGAACAAATTATCATAATCGTCTCTGCTGGCCTTAGGCATTTTGAATCTCTGAATTTATATCTCTGAATAGAACTAAGTACTCCCTGAGAACTGCTAAAAATACATTGGGTTTACAGGATAATTTCATTATAGTTTAGGTGCCCATTCCTAACATCTTTGGGAATCCATTTCTGCCTTCCCTGAGCTGTGCGAGTGCCATAGATCAGTTTCCTATATCCTGCTCCCATTTTCTGTTCCTCGCCTGCCCTCAGGCGCTCTCATTGCGGTTCCACATACCCTGTGAGAGAAGCCCGCTTTCCAGCCCTCCAAAACTGTGACTTAAATTAAAACACCAGCAGGTTCCCAGCTGGGCGCTTCTGTAAGCTCGCCGCCCTGTGCCGTTAGCAGAGAGGGATTTTCGGAGGCGGTTTGTAACGAACCGGGGAGGTTGACACAAAGCAAATCTTCAAAAACTACTTACTGTTATGAACCCTTTGAGACAAAGGCAATATGTAAGTGTAGTTCTGTAGAGCTCCAGGCTGCACAGGCACAACAGTTATTTACGAAGCACTTGTTTCCATCACATTCCAGCTTCAGTGCTTCTTGCTGAACTAGTTTCTCTTGGTACTCGGATGAGCCAAGAGCTTGTGCTCAGCTGCCTTTAATAGATAGTTCTTAAAATGCAATATTCCAATAGGCCTTGCCTGCTGTACAGATGTGTCACTTGACATACTTCGTATTAGAAATACAAATGCGCCATGGAAATAAATTTTGGGGGCAAGAGCACAGAGATTGGATGGAAATCTGTAGAAGAACAGACTGTACTTAAAAAAGAAATCCCCCAAAGCATAGAACATTTTGCATTGTCTGTTCCTAAGTACTCTCAGAGATTCCTTAACATTTAAAGCCGTGGAAAGTTTCTCCTCATGTCAGTCCCAACTAGAGAGGATAAGAGTCCGAATACCAGGAGTTAGATTCTCAGAAACATTTAGCATTGACCTAGCTCTGCCCTCATGCTAAAGTTGGCAGTGATTTATTGATTTCCGAATGACAGAGTTTGGCCTGATGTTGACCATTATGGGAAAAAAGCAAGTCCCGCCGCAGAGCAGCGGCCCTGGAGACGGAGCCGCACGTCAGCCCCTCGGCAAGCGCCCCTCTGCGCGGCGGCCTCTCGCAGCACTGCTCCGCAGGCAGCTTTTCCCACTGCTGCACAGGAAGGCTGGCCTATTTCTAGCCTCACTGTCTAATTCTGAAGAAGTGTCTACAACTTGTGCCAAATTTCTCTTTTTTTTTTCCTGAGCAGAAAGAGTTAGCAGCAGCAGGAAAGTGAAACATCCTTTCTGCTTTGCTGCCTTTTACTTTGAGTGGCAACCTGAAATGGTTCATTGCAAATCACAGGCGCAGCCAGTGAACACTCGCCAACCTGTTTCCCCTCCCGCGCCTTGCAGGGAGCAGCAGTGCTGGGCAGGTTTCTCGCTGCTGCTCCGAGGACATCGCTGCAGAGGCAGGATGCACCAGTGGGAATATCCTGGCGGGATGCGGCTCCGCAGGGAGGCCCGCCAGGGTCCGAGGGCTCTCACGACACGTACGTGGCCGCAGCCTTTGGCTTGCAGCAAAGCGCTCACCCGCCAGCTTGTGTTCCATGTAGCCAGTGCACGTTTTCGTGGAGACAGCCTGTAATAAAGAGCATGTAATAAATAGCAGTGCACAGTGACGATGCGCCTGCACTGCTGTAAAACACCTGCTCAGTGCTTTTAATTTAAAGAAAGCAAATGCAAATGAAATCAGTGCAAATGCGTGAGTGGCAGTGCAGCAGGGCCGGTGTCTGCGTAGCCCTTGTCCCARTTCCCTTGTTCCCTGAATCACGTCCCGTGAGCGGGCGCCCACGGGGCGGCGCAGCTGTGCGGGGCGCTGCGTGCAGGGATCACTGCGCCGGGCCGCGCCATCCCGCTGCAATCCGCAGGGATCACTGTGCCGGGCCGCGCCATCCTGCTGCGATCCGCAGGGATTGCTCCGAGGGGCTGCCCAGGCTCCCCTTCCCMGCAGGACGCGGGTGCCGTGCGGGTCTGTTGCCCCCTCGGGGCCGTAGTGCGAAGGGCCCAGGMGGCCACGGCACCCTGGCGGCTGCCCCCGAGCCCAGCGCGCAGCCGGTCGCGCAGGGCACCGCGGGCAGCGCTGGGCTGCACGGCGCCTCGCGCTGCAGGTCGGGCCCCAGCGCCGCGAGCGCCGCCCGAGCGCGCAGGGCGCCGGGGGCAGCGCCTTGCGTGGCCACGGCGGCTCCGGCGGCTCCCGCAGCCTGCGCGGGCCGGCCCGGCATGGGGAGCGCAGCTCCTGGGATCCCCGCGCAGGGGCTGCCCAGGAAGCCGGGACACTCGCGGGGGCACCACGGCGGCACAGGCCGCATTCAGGAGGAACAGGACCACGCGGAGCATCCRTGCAACCCAGGCCAGCGCGAGGAGGTGCCACGAGCTGGGCAGGGCTCTGCGTGGCCCTGCAGCGTGCAGGGACCAGCCTCTCGGCTGCCCCGCTCCCCGACATGACCCAGACCCCTCCGCAGCCGTCCCCAGGGCGCCCTTGTGCCGGGCCCCTTCCTCCCCATACTCCCGGTGTCCCCCCTTGTCCCGATCCCCCCTGCGTCACCACTGGCACGGAACGGTGCAAAYGCACAGGGAGGGAGCCGGGCGCTCCCCCAGCCCCGCACTGAAACAAGACCAACCAGACAGGCATTTTTGAGAAAAGTTAAGCTGTTTTATTCAAGGGGATGAGTCCACATCCGACCGGTGGTTCATGTACACGGCCTCACCAGCAAACATGAAAGCGCGCTCGGACGCGCCGGCCGAGCGGCAGTTAACGGAGGGGACAGAGACGACACCCAGGGAGGACGACAATCACAGGGAGGGCRGGCGGAGGCGGCTCCGCACGCGGGTGCCTGCGCACGCTGCCACCCCGCACGCCCCGACACTGCCAGTTAAACAGCACAGGCCGGCAGGTACAGAAAGCAGCTCTCGGGGCCCGCGGGGGACGTGTGCGGGTGCACCAGCCTGCACGGCACAGGGCAGCGGGCGCCACCGCTTTGAAGTCAGCACCATCCAACACTGCTGGCTGGGTGCGAGCGGCTCCTCGGGTCACCGTGAGAGCAGGCGGAGCACGAGGGTCCCTGGGCAGCGGCAGCGCCGGGAGCAGCCCCAGCCGGGTCGCGGGCCGGGGGCTCCTGCGGGAGCCCCCCCGGGAGGTCTGCGCTCACTCTGCACAGCAGAGAACCGACCCTGCGGGCCGCACCGCCCAGCGCCTCCACGGACACGAGGGGAGAGCCAGGCAGCCACCTCCTCTATGGGGATGCTCGTTACAGGAGAGCCACATGGCCGCCTCCTCCATGGACATGGACACGAGGGGAGAGCCACACGGCCACCTCCTCCATGGACACGTCCGTGACGGGAGAGCCACATGGCCACCTCCTCCACCACCAGGACACGTCCATGAGGACAGAGCTGCTCCCAGGGGTCGGGTGGGACGCAGGAGAATGGCCCGGCAGGACAGGTGCTCCCAGCGCTTTCCTAAAACAACTGCTAGATTTTCACAGTCTAAGTGACAGCCCCTGTGAAGCCCCTGGAGCTACAGTCCAGGGCTCGAGAGGCGTCAGCGATCAGGGTAACGTTACTCACAGAGCATGAGCAGCTTCCAGTTCTAGTACTCCTACAACGTAAGTGGTTAAATTCTGTGTCAAGTTAAATTACAGAAAAATACATTTTTCCCCTTAAATTTACAGTAGTTAAAACTACAATTGGAGTTCCATATTAGAAAGGGCTAGTTTATTCTTCAACAAAACGTCCAGGTTTTATTTCATTTWAAAAAAAACTAAAAGGTACTTTAAGAGCAAAGGCCCGTGGCAGAGCAGAGCTTTGCACGGCACCGTAGCACGCGCCACTCCTAGCACGTTCCTCCAAGCRTTTGTTCTGGTGCTCAAAAAGGCACTTAAAGATAAGAAAACAACTGCATTAAAACCCCAACGGAACAAAACAAAGAAAAACGAAAGGCAATAATTTAACAGAAAGACACTGGATTTTGTACCGTATCTTTGAAYGTAGGGAGAAAAATAAAAAGCAGCTAGTGAGCACGGGCGTCGGGAGCCCCCGCGGGTGCGCAGGGCAGGGCTGCCCCGGCCCGCGACGGGGCTGCCCCGGCAAGGGGGGACACGGGCAGCCAGCAGCGCGCGCACGGGCCGGCTGCCGACGGGCAGGGCAGGGCCCCGCGCGGGCAGCGCGCTGGGATTTTTGTCTTTTTTTTTTTGTCTTTTTTTGTCTTTTCTTTCTTTAACACTGAGCTATCTACTAAGTGCAAGGGTTGGTGCATGCTCTGGGCCTTCCTCTGCCCAGGCCTACGCAGTGAGCGGGTCCAGCGCCAGGGCCAGCAGGGCGCCCGACAGCAGGGCGGGAAGGGGAGCGCGGGGAGGCCGCGCGGGGCCGGGACGCATGGGGCTGCTCGGGGCCGTCCCACCACGGCTCCGACTGCGGGCCTGGCCCCGGCCACGCGAGGGGCAGAGGGAGAGGCAGGAGCGGCCGCGGCGGGGCCCACTCCCCCATGCTCTGCGYGGCGCCCTGCTCCGCCTGCGCGTTTCCATCTTGGGGTGAAATTTTCAGAGGAAAAACAAAAGKTTTTTTCGTTTGCATAAACTCAAACTGCTGCAGTATATAGTACAGTACAGAAAGTGCAAAGTATCGCCCCATCAGAACGGGTATGCATCTGATATGGTCAAATATGGCTCATGCTTTTCATGCAAGAAGACACGACCCGACCCGAGACCCTCCCGCCCTGCTGCGTGCGGAAGCCCCTCCCAGGTCCTGTGGTGCCGGGCGAGCTGAGGAGCGGGGCAGGGGACACTKCAGCTCAAAGGGACCCAGGGCTTCGGCAGCCCTGGCACAGGAGCCACGAGTGGCGGCGGGCACCGGACTGCCCCGCGTGGGAAGGGAGGGATGGGAGGGGGTATTTACCCGTCCGCCCGCCCGGGCCACACACACGCAGGGCTCGCTCTGGAAGCAGGCGGCAGCGGCACCTGGAGCGGGGCCCGCGCGCCCTCCCTGCCCTCGGCACCTCCACGGTCGCGGTGCGGACCAGAGCGCCAGGCCCAGGCCTGTCCCGCACAGCTGCTCCTTGCACCTCCACACACACACGGGACCCTGGGAAACACAAGCACCAGACCCAGACTTCGCTAGAGAGGATGTTTCAGAGCCAGTTTCTGAGGTAAATCTACTTGGAAAAAAAAAAGTTACTGAACTCTGTACACTATGTTTTATAGACTCCTACATGTAACGCGTGTTCTCCAGTGACAAGACGCAGAGCGGCCGCCTCCCTGCGCCCGCGGCCGCCCCGGCGCGTTCCCGGGGCACGTGGCTACCTAGAGATATGTACAGGAGGGCGCCGCGGCGCCTACATGGTGCCCGACTTGTCGGCACCGCCAGGGAAGAGCTTCTCGGTGGGGGTGACAGCGGGGCTGCCCACTCCGGAGCTGGAGCTGCTGCTGGAGCGGTGCTGCATGGCCGGGCGCGCCGCGCGCATGGGTGGCGGGCGCAGCTGCGCCCCGGCCAGCCGCGCCGACAGCGCCGGCTTGAACGTCGTCAGCATCTCGGCGGTGGAGCTGCTGCTGCGGCGCATGGCGGCGTCRGGGTCGCGGATGAGGATGGTGTGCAGCGGGCTGGCCGGCTCCGAGCTCACCGAGCCCGCCGGCGGGTTCTTCATGGGCTCCAGCGTGTCCAGCACCACGTCGGGCGCCTGCTTGGCCGTGTTCTGCCGCTCCAGCTCGCGCAGCTCGTTCAGCGCCGTGCTCATGGTTTTCTCGATGTCCTGCCAACGCCACCGACAAGAGGATCAGCAAAGGCCCCCGCGCTGCCCCAGCCTGCTCCCACCCTGTGCTGGCAGCAATGCCCGCTGCAACGCCCCGTTACACCTGCAGCAGTGCCCGCAGCAGCACCCCATTACACCTGCAGCAGTGCCCCATTACACCTGCAGCAGTGCCCCGTTACACCTGCAGCAGTGCCCGCAGCAGCACCCCATTATACCTGCAGCAGTGCCCTGTTACACCTGCAGCAGTGCCCGCAGCAGCACCCCGTTAAACCTGCAGCAGTGCCCTGCTACACCTGCAGCAATGTCTGCAGCAGCGTCCCCGTTACACCTGCAGCAGTACCCGCAGCAGCACCCCCATCAGCCCCGCAGCAACGTCCTGTTTCACCAGCAGCATTGCCCGCCACAACGCCCCATGTTAAACCTGTTAAAGGCACCTGCCACACAAGCTGCGATGCCTGCGCTGCGATATCCACACCTTGCTGGCAGCAGTGTCCTCGCTGCAATGCCTGGCTATGCCAGCAGCACTGCCCTGCTGCAATGTCCCTGCCGTGCCGACAGCAACGCCCGCTGCAGCATCCCCGCAGCAATGCCCCGGTGCCATGACACCAAGAACCTGCTCCTGGCCCCTGCTCTGAGCCGCAACGTGTGTGTGCGCATGCATACGTGTGCACGCATAGGTGTACATGTGTGCATGCATACATGTGCACGCATAGGTGTGCACGTGTGTGCATGTGCACATACGTGTGTGTGCGCACACATGTCTCTCCCCACACGATGCTCTCCAGGCCTGGGTCTCCAGGCAAACAGCGGCCTCAAAGAGCGCGGGAGGCCGGGGCTGCTCCGCGCCCCAGCGCAGCGCCAGGCTGTCCCTGACTTCCCGGCTCGGCCGCCAGAGCCGCCAGCCCAGCTGCCCTCGCTGCAGGGCACCCGCCCGGCGCCGCGGCCCCGCGCCCGTCCCCAGCCCTCGCTCCGCAGCACGTGTCCCTGGAGCGGCCGCGTTGTTCGCCCTGCACCACGTGTGAGGCTCCTCTCGTGCACGCAGAGAGCATGCACGCAGAGGCACGCAGAGGGCCAGCACAGAGAGGAACGCGCCGAACAAGCCTCGGTCTCCACCAGCACGGGCTCTGCTGCCGCAGAGCTGCCTCCTCGCGCCCCAGGGCTGCGCTGCTGCGGGACCCCCCRTGGGTCCCCCGCAAAGCGAGTCCAGTTCAGCCAAAACGTCACCTTGAGGGCAGCTAAACCGCCCCAGGCAGCGCCACTCCTCCAGCGTCACCTAAAGGAGCCCGGGGCAGGCAGGGCCAGGCCGAGGTGCTCACAGGGGCTCTGCGCCGCCCTCATCGTCCCCAGGTCGCCCCCAGCTCTCACGGAACCCAAGGGCCCCCGGGGCACGGGGCAGTTTTGCAGCCTGTGCCACAACAGGATCCCGGAGCCGGATTTCCGCACATTGTGCCCAGCACAGTCGCTGTCTCCAGCGAGGAGCAGGGCTGTGCTGCAGCTAACGGGAATGCAGAGAGAACCGTGGAAGTGGCAGCCAAGGTGATGCTGCTGGCGTGGCACAACTGCTGACACGATATGCTGCTTGCACTTACATTTTGAGGTCCTAGATACAAACAGGCAGTAACAAACCTGAGCCCTTTTCTCCAAACACTAGTCAAGCAAATCTGAATTTGGCAAAAGCTGTTTTCTCCTAAGTTTCATGCAGAGTTTGAAACAAAAATAATGTACTTCTTTTCCTGCGAGAGCTAAGAACTGCCAGCTGCGTTTCAGTGGTGGATCAAACATTTCTGCCTATTATTTTGAGGAAAAAAGGCTTGCAGAAAGAGGCAGCTCCTTTCCTTAGACCAACACTATAGCTGGAGAASCAGGCAAGCCTTTGACTTTTCATCTTTCTCCTTAGACCATCGCAGCTACAACAGCAGTACTACGATTCTGACATGCTCGGAGATGAAGGAGGCTCTGTACTGTTATCCGAGCGCGTTTTATTTTAGCCTCTCCATCCCTGGCACCAGGACTCACTTCACAACCCTCTTACCTCAGCAAGCGCTTCTGCTTCTAGGGATTTCTGATCTCCAAGACTACTGTGTCTAGTCGATCCACAGGTCGATCTCAGCGGGTGGCCATCAGACAAGGCCTTCCTGTCTGGGTAATTGATGCTGCCTGCACTGCCGAATGTCGCCATCCTGCGCTTTTCGGGGCTCTCAATCCTGCCTCTGTTAAGTGGCATTTTGTGGGGGCTGCTAGGACAGGCRGCCGCTCGCGGAGGAGTGTCCATGGCCGGGGCCAGCCCCCGGGGCGGGCTGTGCGTGTCCCCCCCGCTCCGGCGCCGGGGGATAGCTGCACCGTCAGACCTCAATCTCACTCTGCAAAGAATCCATCACAAGACTGGGTCACGGTCCAACACATCGCAAGCACCGGGCTGCATGCTGCAAGACAATCCGTCAGCCCTGAAAGCGCTCACCGAACCCCACGCAAGCCGCRGGGCTCCCCAAGGCTAAGCTAGAGAGGAGATGCACATTTTAGGGAGGACCGAGAAAGCAAATTGCATTCCGTAGGTGTTAGGATCTGCGTTAAGCGGTCCATGTTTCACACCCCTCTGCAGCACTTCCTAGCAGTCTGTGTCCACCTCGCCCGACGCGACATGCAGACCTTCCCAGAGCCCAGCAGCAACCGCCTCTGTGTTCACAGGAAAACGAGGGGCTTTCCCTACCGGCCCATCACACCCCCAAATCCGTAGTCTGGGATGTGATCCGTCGGGGACTGGATGTCGTTCTTGGAGGAGGCTTTGTCGTCCAGCAGCGGCCCGCTGCTCGCCTCGCTGTCCGCCTTCTGACTCAAGCTGTCGGAGAATGCGTCGTCCCTGCGGAAAATGAGACCCCGCGTGAGGCTGGGAGGAAGTGGGGACAGAGGGAGCCTAAGATCCAACCAGAGCCCACCCCAAGTGCTCCACTCCAGGGCCAGAACAAGCTCTGGACACCACCTGGAGCGGGGGGAACACTCAGGTGGGCCACGCATCCCCTGGGCTAACACTGCCATCCCAATGAATCCTTAGTCTTTAGTCTTTGGCTTTGAAAGCCCGAGCAGGAAACAACCTGCTCCAAGAAGCAGGGAGGCACACGGGACTGGGACAGGATTTACTGGCAGTCATTAAAGCCAGGCAATGAGTCCTCCAGCCGCAGGGACAGGTGACAACCCTGGCACGGGCCCTGCCGATACTCACATGTCCTGCACCACAATGTACTGGTGCGGTATGAGGCCGTCCACGCCGTTGTGTCTGCCCTCCCACCAGTCCTCCGAGGCGCGGTGGTAGAGGAGCAGCGAGGCCCCTTTCTTGAAGGAGAGCTCTCGTGGGGAGCGTCCCGCATAGTCAAACTTGGCTATGGCCTCGATCTGCTCCACTTCTGCAAGGAGAGGGCACAGGCAGCGGGGGCTCAGCCCGGCACAGCTCTCGTCGAGCCGCCCCGGCTGCCTGCAGCATGGAGCGGGGGCTGCATGCGCCCATCCTCCCGGAGCTGGGCACCCGCATGAGCTACCGGCACCCGCGGGCAGCTACACCTTTATTTTAATGTGACTCTTTGGGTACAGCGTAGGGCTGCTGCCGCAGGCTCAGCACACTGCTTGGGAGCAAACCTGGCAGGAGAGGCGAGGAGGACTCCCCACACGGAGCCTCCCAGCAGGGAGGGCGCAGGGCGAGGGGATGGGGACGCGCACGGTCGTGGAGAGCCGCTGCTCTGCCCCACTGCCCACTGCTGCTCATCACCCGGGAACTCACAGAATCACAGAATTCTGTGATTAGAGCTATCAGTGTGATGGGCATACAAGTGGCTAAATGGCACCCGCTCTCCTCGGCTGCCCGGCCTCGCTGGCTGCTGGCACTGGCGAATGGCGACCACGTCTCACGCGGAACGCGGCGCCTGGCCCTCCACGACGGCCCTGCGGGAGCCGGGCAGCCCTGGCGTTCCTGCAGAGCCGGCTGCGGGGGAAATGGAAATAGAGGCGCAGGAGGAAGATGCTCTGCACGGCAGCTCCCAGGCCGGGCTGCACTTAGGCACAGGTGACAGGGAGAACAAAGGGAAGGAAAACGGAACCTGGGAGAGCAATTCCTAACACAAAATCCCTATGGATCTTGCATGGGAGGAGACTGCAGTGAGACCTATACACATCCCATGATGGAAACCTCTAGGGAATGGTTATATGCACACACACATCCAACACAGTGACATCCCGCCCCATGAAGCCCCAGTGCAGCAGCCCAGCCCCATTCTGCTGGGAGCAACGTGCACTTGGCCTCCCTGCACACACAAGTGTCACACGCGTCCCCGTTCCCATTGTGCCTCTGCTCACCGTCATCGCTGGTGTGCGGCTCCGTGCCATTGTCATGGTCCACCTCGTCAATGGTGCCCGGCTCACTGTGCGGGCTGTCGCTGCAAGGGAGCACAACTGCCTTAGGGAAACCCAGAAACCAGGTTCTGATCCCTGGCTACCAGGGAAAAACAATTTGCGGGGGGAAATCTGGCTCCATGGTGCTGGAAGGAGCTACGTGTTCCATCTCCACAGGAATGGGATGGGACCCTTTGCTCCTTTCTCAATCACAGCCCTTGCTTTGAGAGCTGGAAACACTCTGAAACACCCTGGATCTTCAGGCCCAGAACTGTACGTTCCGGTGCTCGCGTGTCTTACTCAGATTTGGCAAAACCACTATAAAAAGATACCAAATAAAAATTTTCCACTCATTCACAATGAATTTTGACATTTTCTCTTCTGTTTGCCCCAGTAACAGTGGTGACGTGTGACCCATATCAGGAAATCTCAGGTCCCAGAGATGTGCAAAGCTTCCACATAAATCAGGTCAAGCCTGTTATAAATCCTGGCTTGCTAAAGCCCAGATGTGAATGCCAGGTAGATTCCAGCATTCTCAAGATAAATATGTACCGGCATTTAGTGCTAATTTGAGGCTGTTTTTTGTTTTGTTTCAACTTTTTCTTTCCAGAGAGTTTTGATACCCTGTGGCTACAAGGGGGAAGGACAGGCCAGAAGCAAGCAGGGGAACATGGGGCTGCGGCCGGCCCTTACCAGTACTCCTCGCCGCCCGTCATGCACTTCTCATAGACGGGTCCTTCCAGCTCCCTGTGGCTGGGGAAGATGCCCTCGTGATGGACGATGATGGTCTTGATGACCTCATTGACGTGGGCTTGGCAGGACACGGGGTCCTGCCCGTCGGGGATGTGCATCAGCGTGGGGCCGAAGCAGATGGCCAGGTTGTARGGATCCATCATGTTCTCATCGCTGTACTGCGACAAGCTGCGAGCAGAGGTGTCAGTGAGCGCGGCCCGGGCAGCCCCCGGCGCGCGCAGACCCCGCGCGCTGCGACGGCACCGTTGCTGTGGGACAGCGGGTGCCCCTCGCCGCGGCAGCACCGCAGCGCCCCGGCCACGGCGAGCCCCGAGAGGCAGCGCGAGGAACGCGGTGAGGGGAAGGGACTCACTGATTCAGGAACGCAAAGAGATATCTCATGACCACGATGACGGCGCGGGGCAGCGTGACGATGATTTGCTGGATCTGGTGCACTCTCTCCGTGGGGCTCTCGATTTCTGCAACACCAGGACACAATAAACGTTTACCCAGCGTCAGCACAGGGCACAGGCGGCTCCCGGCAAACTGGCAGATGATGTTTGCAATGGGAAGATCCCCAAAGCGCAGAAACTGCTCTCACACACAGACAGCCCCGGGACCCCAAGGCAACACACGCTGGGCGCCTCTCTCCWCCAATAAACCCTCCCTCGCAGCAGGGCATCACAAGGCGGCGGGAGGAATAAGCCCCAGCCAGGAGAGCTGCTCTTCCCTGGCAGAGGGCTGAGCAGAGCTGGAAGGAGAATTCAGGAGAGGGCAGGCAGCAGCCAGAGCCTTCCCTGGGGGCAGCCCCAGACTTCGCATGGATAAAGAGCCCCCGGCTCTGCCTCCAGCTCCAGCCTCTTACCCTGACTCTTCACATGCTCGTGCAACAGCTTCCATCGCAGCCCAACATCCCCTACAGCCCARGCCACTGTCTGCAAAGCCTGGGTTTATTTGCACCCTATTTAATGCTTTGCTTGTCCCACCCTTTCCTCCAACAAGACCCATCACTTGTACTTACTTATAGTAGATATCAAATCTTGAAACCTTTCCTTGGGAAAGAGCGGGTTTTCCAGTCCTCGGAAATACAGCTTCAAGACTCCAGCCACTGAGTTAATGTCACGTTCGTTTTGATCATCAGCAAGGGGATCTTCACCTGTCCAGAAAGAAGTTTGTTTCAAGCATCACTGCCAAGACAGATGAACACAGTGAGTCCYTCCCCAACCTCATGGTGTAAAATCAGCATCTCCCACAACTCAGAAAGCTTCCCACATGCAGCAAGGCATTTTCTGAGCAGGACAGCAATTCAGTAAGGTGCTCTGCTACACAGCATCATGCTGACACCATGGGCACATAGCTTATTATGGAGATTTTAAACCTGTCCTGAAGACAAAGATGTCATTAATCTGCTCTTAACAGAAATATCCTTCCAACCTTTCCTACTACTCACTTACTGTCTTGGGAATTGATAAAAGCTCCTTGAGAATGGGTCCTCAGACTAATTGATGGCTCTTATAGCTGAGGTTTTCATGTTCTTAATCAATGATTGCAGAAAAGATCTCTGTATCTATAAATGTTAGGATATTCTTTCCTTAAGTGACTGTTCTTCATTATTGCTGAGGGCACAATACTAGGATCCCAGGAGTGGAGAAAACTTCCCAGTTCCTCCTAACAGACATGCCTAGCATGGGGGACACAAAACCTAGCGAACCAGACCAGCTGCCTGTACACACTAGAAGTCCCATCAAGAACCTCTGCTCCGGGGTCAGGAACCGCCGCCGCTCCCCACGCACACGGCCACCTACCTCTCTCAAACGAGTTCTTGATGTCATTGACTTCCACCTGGGAGCCCGGAACTCTAAAGATACCCTGCTGCTGAAGGCCTGGAAAAGAGCACATGTTTCATTTATTTAGTTTTTTAAAAAGATTTGAAACAGTGATGAAAATAACTTCAAACCTTAATAAGTCAACAGTTGAGTCCTACTGAAATCTGAAGAGATTCTGTGCTCGACATCCAATATTCTACTTTTTGGCAGAGTGCAGCGGGAAGGATCAGTAGCTGCACCTCAGCAAAAAGGCTCAGGAAGCAGCTGCTCGTGCTGCCCAGTGCTAGTGTTTCACGAGCACTTGGGTCCTCAAACAGCAGTCAGTTATGGATCAAAGTCCTATCCCGACTTTCCATACTGCCCAGTGCAGGAGCRGAGCAACGCACCCCAGGCATCTAGAGGGCACTAGATGGGGTGCCACAAGCTGCGGGGCTCGGGGCAGCGGCTGCCTGCAGGCTCTGGAAGGTCCTCTGCAGATGGGGCGCATCCTTCCCCATGCACGTGAGGGAAAAGGAAGGACACAAATCACTTCTACCCGTGATCTGCAGCCAGGGCCCCCAGATCAGAGCGCTGGAAGAGCTTCCCTTGGCCTGCAGCTGCGGCAAAACAATGAACCCCAGAAAGCACCAACAGGGCCTGAGCGTTTGTCCCTCGTCCCACGCTACCCGGGAGGCCACGTTATGGTAACTACCAGCTGGGCCGAGCAGCTCCTGCGCACCCAGCTCCCGCACGCACAGCTCCCATACGTGCGGCTCCCGTGCACCCGGCGCTCCACGTCTTCCGCTGCTGGCGGCCCAAACTCACCGTACAGATTGATGTAGCGAATGCAGCTCTCCACCACAAGCGGGATGGCCTGTCCCGAGTCCTTCAGGAAAGGGAAAAGACAGTCAGATCTTCCCGGTTGCTGCTAGCAACACACTGGCAATATACAAAGGGCTACAAAATCTCGGATGGGAAAGGCAGAGCTTTGAGTGGAGCGAGAGGAAGGCACGGACAGGAGGCACTAGGCACCGCTGCAGGGTTGCCTGCGCCCTGTGCACGAGGAGCTGGGCCCGAGCGCGGCTGCCCGGAGCCGGCGCTGCCGGGGCTCGTGCCCATCGCTGCAGGCCCCACGGAGGGAGCTGGGAAAGACCCGCGGGCCGCCTGGGCTCCCTGCGCGGCCCCCTGCTCCCGAGGGCCTCGCACGGGGCCAGAACGTCTCCCAGCTCCTTTCTCCGTCCCAGGACGGGCTCCAGTAAATACCTGGTTTCTCATTCGCGCATTCCTCCTTCCTCTGAGAGCAAGGAAAGCGGCAGAGCAGGAGAGAAAGAAGAGTAAAGCAGGGGTGAGTTCAGTTAGAGACGCGTCTGTCTTTGGGAGGCCATGGACGCCCAAACGCGGTGGCAGCTTGGCRAGGCGGCCGCCCTCCGTCCTGCATCCCTGTCCCCACATCCCTCCCTCCCGGCCCCGGGCCCCGCGGAGGCCGCTCGGCTGCCGGGGCTTCCAGCGCGGCTCCCTCCTCCTCGGCGCTGGCATCAGGCTGGACTTCAATGAACATTCTCTTTTGTAAAACCACTTTAACTAAGGAGTAGTTACAAGCATTCAAGAGATTAGCAGCATCGTCCATCAACTTGTTTGATACTTGTGATGGYGCCCGGTGGCAAACACCACTTCCAGACTCACAGCTGCACTAAAAGAACAAAAGGGAATAAATCCAGGCTGGGCACTGCCTAATGCCCTAGAAAATCCAGCGCCTTCTCACGGCTTTTTCTTGCAGCATTTTCACTGTAGGTTTCTTCAGTGCAGGCAAATACTTAAGCACAGGAGCGGAGCTCAGCAGGAGATGACGTGTTTATGGAGGGAGGACACACTGCTGCCTCGGCCAGGGTGCAAGCTGCCTCCTGCCAGCACCTCGTTTCCAGAGCACCAGGAGGACCTTGGGAGCGGGGCTCCCCGACGGCCACGCCGCGCTGTCCTCGCGTGCCCTGCACGGCAGCTGCCCGGGGTGGCGCGGGAAGGCGGCTGTCCCCACTGCCAGTAAACACTCCGTTGTGTTAGAGGRCATCAGACCACTGTTGTGGTGGGCCCCAAGGTGAACTGACTGGGTGGATTTTATTTTGCTAAGTTTTAGGGCGCAGACGAGGAGGTTCCCCTGCCAAGGGCGCTGCAAGGGGGTCTGACCTGTGGCTGCAACTCCTGGCAGCCACAGTCACTGCATCGCCCTGTGGCCATGGAGGGGACAGAATGCACCTCGTCCTGCGAGGAACTGCTGGGAGGCCAAACTTCTGGGGAGCACCACTGCGGATCCGAGGGCATCCGCCTGGGATCACTGCCAGCTTCATCCCTGCAGACCGGAGCAGCAGCAATCAAGCGTTTCTGACGCTTCCCCCAGCGGCTCCACTCCTCAAACACTGGGAGAGGCCTCTCTGGAGCTCCTCGAGGGCCGGCGGATGCTGGTGACCACGAGGACACTTGAACGGGGACAGCTGGGTCTGCAGCAGCGAGCCGGGACGAAGCGCGGGCACTGGCACCGTGGGCCCGGCCGCGGGGCGGCTCCGCRCGGAGCCCGGCGCCGCGGGCAGCGGCTTCACTGAGGCCCGGGGCCGGCGGCCCCGCGCAGCCGCGGGCACGAGCAAGGAGGTGGCGCGCGGGCACACCAGCTGCCACCACGTTTGTAGCGTCCATCAGCTCCTACTGTTAGTCAGCAAGTACCTTAATGAACGTTTCCATATTGCCGTTAAAGAGTTTATGATTATAGACTGAGAGAGGCCTAGGTCTCCGCATTTTCTGTGGCTTAGGGGGAAGACATGGGGGCCTGGGAGAAAATGGAACAAAAGAAATCAACAGGACACCAACGTAAATGCACCGACAGGGCGAGAGCTTAGCGGTGACGGCTGGAAATCCAAATCCAAGCGAGCAGACGGGCAGCGCGTGGCCGAGCGGAGCCGCTGCGCCCCGTGCGGCCCCTGCCCCACGCYGCCCGCCAGCCCCTGCCCCGCGTCACCAGGGCGGGCGCCAGCGCCGCGTCCTGCGCGGGACTCGCCTCCTCCGAGCCCGCCGCAGCGGCAGAGCCGCCGGGCCCGGCAGTGCCCATGGCCGGCAGGTCCCCCGGCCGCGCCGCGACACGGCGGCGATGGCCTCTCGGAAGCGGGACGGCGACACTGGAGCCTGGCGGGGGGCGGCCGTTCGCTGGCACCACCTGAGCGCCCTGTCCCCCTGCACTGCTGCTACCACCAGCCAGAACCTTCAAGCGGTTCCCCCGAGCTGCATCCGCCGGCTGGCCAGGGACCCAGCGCCTCGCCAGGGGCCAGCGGATCCTGAAGCCCCCCCGGGGCTCAGCAAGGGCTGCAGGCGCCCCTTGCTCCTGCCAGCCAGGCCATGGAAACGGGCGGCTGCTCCTAGTGCAGCGRCTGGGAGTCTGCCAGGCCACTTATCACTAACTTTGCTCACGCCTTGGCTTCTGCTGCTGACAGTTAGAGATGCAWGATAAAGTACCCTGGTCTACAAGAGACAAAACTAGCAGAAAGAGCGGGCTCCATAGGCAAGCTCTGCTCTGCCCTCGGCCTCCAGCGGTGCCAATGGCAGAGGAGGGATCACAGCACAGGTGAAACCACCATCGGGAGCCCTCAGAGAATCACAGAATCATTATGGTTGGAGAAGATCTTTAAGATCGTTAAGTCCAACCGTAAACTCTTCCACACCATCCCCTGCTAACCCAGGTCCYTAAGTGCCTCATCTGCACCTTTCTTGAACACTGCCGGGGAYGGGGACTCCACCGCTTCCCTGGGCAGCCTGTTCTAACACTTGACTCCTCTCTCCCTGTAGAAATTCTTCCTCGTGTCTAACCTGAACCTTCCCTGGGGCAACCAGAGGCCATGAAGGCCACTTCACGCACAAGTCCTCCCCCGGGAGCTGAATGGTTAGACACYTTCCAAAAGGCAACAATGCAAAGGTGGCAACTGTGATGCGGGSGTACCTCAATCAAGTGTCTTTAATTAGAGACAACAATTTCGATTCAACTCCATGCTCTTACAGCCCGCAATGGTTCCTGGGCCTGGCAGAGGGCAGAAGCACCAGGGCTGCCCTGGAAGCTCCAGGGGGCTGGGAAAGGGGCTGATCCGGGCACAGGAGSCGCCCCGTGCAGGGACCGGACCCTACGGCCCCGCGTCGCCTCCCACCCCCTCGGGCCGGGGGAGGCAGAAGGCGGCAGCCCCGGCACCCCGGGCTCCCCGCGGCCTCCCTTCCTGCCCAGAAAGGCAGCCCGGGCATCGCCATCTGCTCAGCGCCTCCAGCACAAGATGGAGGCCGCTTGCTGAGACTACAAACCTGCCAAGAGCTAAAACAGGGCTGGGAAAAGCTAATGCAGAGCTGCTGCGAGTTCTGGGGGCGTTCAGAGGCCTTGCCGGCCCGTGTCCCATTTTCTGAAACCACCACAACCGCAGCAAGTCTCCAGTGCTCGTGCAGATGCTCCTTGCAGCGGATCAAACTCTCCCACTGCATCGGGCTGCCAGCAGCCTCCGTGCTCAGGCAGAGCCCCGCGAGATGTTTTTAGGCTGCGCATCGCGGTCCCCAAGCGAGCCGGGCGGCAGGGAGCAGGAGGGGGTGCTGAGCACAGCGGTGTCGCTAATGCCCATTAACCCACGTACATCAGCGGGGCAAGGAGCAGAGCTCGGCTTCGCCTCCCAGCACCAGAAATCCTCCCCCGATGCCAGAGCAAGGGCCCTTCCCACAGCCGCCCGCCTTGCCAAAGGCACCAAAGACACAAAGACACCCCCGCCAAGCAGAACGAACTGAAGAACTCTCACCTGGTTGTTCCGCATTCAGCTCTTTCACCTAGAAAGGAAAAACACCCAGGATTCCATCACTTCTCCCTACCAGAAAATGGCTTATAGAACATCCCCCCGCCCTGCCCTGCACTCGCACTTTGGATTCTTTAACCGGCAAGTTGTTTGAGGCGAAAGACAAAGCGAAAGAGCGCGAGGCTCCCGCAGGCCTCTGCGGCCACCGGCGGCTGGGAGCGAGCCCGTCCCCAGGAGGGGCCCTGGGCTGCGGTGCAGAGGCAGATGCCTCTGCCCGGCGGTGCCCCCAGGGCTGTGTGCGCGGCGCGGCCACCGGAGCAGGGACCGCGGCAGCACCGCGGCAGCGCTCACCACAGCCCTGCGCCCGGGCCAAGCACCGACGGGGACAGGGCGGACAGTAAGGAGACAACCCCGGGGACCCGACATCACCCCCAGCCTGCAGAGCACCCAGCAGCCCCGAACGCAGCGGGGCTCCCTCGGCGCCTCCACGAGACGCAGCCCAGCCCGTCGCACCGCGCGGGCTCTCCTCTGCCTGTCAGCGATCTCACTCCCTTGGTGTATTTTTACTGCTGGATCTATATAAAAGGCAGGAAGTCACCAATGATAAGATCTCTTCATTTTTTAAAGTACTTGTCAATCCACTGGAAAAAAAAAAGAAGTGAACTAATTGTGCATGCTGTTTGTGCCTTTCTCCCAAGGCCAGGAAAGCTGATTTATTCTTCCTTTTTCCAAGGCACATAAAAAAGAACCACTTGGCCACACATTCCTCCTTCCTGTTCTCCCTTGGCACCTACAGAAATCAAGTTTGCAGCCAACTCCTCACTAAAAAAGCAAAGAATTCCTCAGCAAGGGTTTTGCAAACCCAGACTTCACTCTAATGAGAATCAGCTCCTGCTGAAACAGCCATTTCTGGGCTAAACACCGCTGAATGTCTGCGCAGCAGGTTGATCCGTGACCTGCAGGAAAACGCTGCAAGTTTCCACATGAAGATGTTCRTGGCTGCTCTCGCACAACAAGACCACAGGCTGTTTGTCTTTAAAATGCAGACAAAKGTACTTAAACTTAAATATACTCTCTCCTGTCACAGAATCAGGATTCTAAGTCTCTCCAGTTCCTCTCCGGAGCCAGCCCTGCAACTCACCTTCTCCCAGGGTCTGCTTCAGTAAGTCATGCTTGGCCTGCAGCTTGGTGATAAGGTTGCTGCCGTTCAGATACTCCTTAAATTTCTGCAATTAAAAACAGAACCAAAGTGAGGACCCTCGGCAAAGCAAGTGGTAACTGCTGCCCACGCGGCGGGGGCTGCAGCAGGGGCCGGGGCAGCTCCCTGCACGCGGCCCTCGTGCAAAGCGAGGGGCAGCAGCGCCAGAGCCCGACCCCTCCCAGTGCAGGGCACGGGCTGCGGCACGCGCCGAGCCACGGGCACCGCGCGGCCGAACGCGCCCCTTCGTCCTGGCACCGACCCCTAACACCCAGGAGCAAAGAACTGCTCAGGCAGCAGGAGCAATGAACACGGAGATGGAAAATGAAAGCCAAACATTGAGAAAGATCACAAGTACTTGCAAAAAKCATCTAAAAAATCCAACACAATACAAATCCAAAACTGCTGTTTTTTCACCCCYTTTTTTCTTCTTCCTGAATTGRAATAACAATACTCTTATAAAGAAATTAGAAACATTTCTATGCCAATATAAATACCACAACATACTACTAACTTCAGCCTGTTTACCCAATCAACCATGACAAAACAAGGGGTTCTGCTGCTGACCTCATGTCTTCTGGCTTGTACTACAAGTACTTCACCAGAGAGGTGGCTCGTACTACAGGTACTCTACCAGTTCGGTACAAGTGCTCTACCACAGAGGTCAAACACCAACTGCAGGGACTCGCTGCAGTCCAGGAACTGCCACCAAATGGCGACCCCCTCCAAGCCCATTTGTGACCTACTCATAACTAATTTCTGCAAGTTTGGGGTCACAACTGGGTTCTACAGCTATTCCTTCTAAAATAAGAGCAAAAAAGCTTGCCGTTCCCCGTGCAGTGCCATGCCACTGAGAAACACACTCCAAATCCAAAGCAAACAGGAGACAAACACATAAGAAACTGAGTTGACTTTTGCTCTTCACTAATGAGCGGGGAAATTGGGACACAGCCGCAGCAATTAATGCCCTGTGTCCCATACCACGCAAGATGAGACTCACTGTGAAGTAGAACATTTCAGTTTCCTGTTGGTTGGCTCTCCTCTTGGCAATGTTGATTTTACTCATGTAGGTCTCCGAAGCAGCAGATTTGACCGACTCAGTGGAGCGACTGTGCTGGAAGGCATCTGAAACATCAAAATCTTCCACTGTCAGCATGTCCTGCAGCGTCTGCATGGTCGCGTCCAGGGTTTTCCGTACCTATCAGAAGCAGAGGGCAGCTCAGAAGGGTGGGGAGCAGCCCAAGGGGCAGCGGGGCCAGCGGCAGGGCCGAGCGAGCCGGTGCGCCGGGGACGCGGGCGCCCGGCCCAGCCTGCGCCCACYGCTCTCCTACCTCCTCGTTCTCTATCTTGAGCGTGGCGAGTCGCGACTGCAGCTGGTGGTACCGCATCAGCAGTTCGGTCTGCACGGGCTGCTGGGCACTCACTTGGCACACCTGGGCAGCGGGGAGAGCCGGGAGGGGATGCAGCCCATCAGTCACTGACCAAGCCCTGATGACTCCTTCCAGCACCCCAGGATCCCGCGGGCTCTGGGGAGGCTGGGTGGCCCCTTCTGGCCAGCCTTTCGCTGCCTCGGGACACAAAGCACCKCCCACACGGCATTTTAAAGCTGGAGCTCCTCCATCAAATCAAAGTTTCACCTCTACAAATCTGTAAGGCAGTCCAGCTAGGATCAAATCAGGGCTTTTTTAATTGAGAGAGCTACTGAGTAAGAGGCAGACTCAAAGGAGGAGCCTCAATGAGCCAAGCCTCTCGTTAAGAAAGGAAATGAGCAGCAGCATGTGAAGAGAGAGCACAGGCATGAGGAGCCAGAACAGCACAGGGACAGTGGTGCGGAGCAGGGGCAGCTGGGCGAGGCCTGGCCCTGAGCTAGGCGCGCAGCGGGGACGCGGGCGCAGTACCTCGTCCCCCATGTGCGGCTGGAACTCAAACTTCAGAGGGGGGCAGAAGACCTGGTTGCACATGTCCATGACGGTGTGCTTGTCGCTGCGCGCGTCCAGGTTGTCCACAGCGTTCTCGATGATGTCCAGGCCCTCGTGGCGCGACGTCTCCAGGTTGTACTCAGCAGACAGGTACGTCCTGAAGGTCCGMGCGAGGCTGGCGTGGAAGCCCAGATCGCAGCACTGCAACACCAGAGAAGGGCCAGCGTTAGCTGTGTGGATCGCGCAACATTAGCGCCCCTCGTCACCCGCACGCTCCTGCGTGCATTAAACCCTTGGGAGAAAATGAAACGCTTTCTAAATTACAAATTCATCCGTCACAATTCTTTCATCTGCTAAATAATTACAAATATTTAACTTGCCCCTTGCAGACCATAAAGTAATGCTTAATCAAGACAGTATCTGTGCTTGGCCCCTGCAATGCTGGGCACAACCTACGTGCCTCAGCTCAGACCTGACACTGTTTTCAGATCACTGGAGGGATGTTGAGACAGAAGAGGAACTGCTGCTGTTCACGCTGGTTGTTTTTTATGGCGAGCATTTATTCACCACGTATTAGAAACGCAGAAAACCAAAGCAGCAGCATGTTGGAAGCGCAGGGATACAGCCCCTCTGTYGAGGCAGAGCCTGGCGCGGCCGCGGTTACACAGGGCGCGCGTCCGGCTGGACACGGGRGTCTCCAGAGGCACCTCCCAACCCCAGCCGCTCGGCGCCTGGGTGTGAGCGTGTGCACGGAGCCCCTGGCGCCCGGCAAGGCGCTGCCGCGGGCACCAGCGCACGGGCAGCCGGCGGGCACCGCGAGCGGCCGGGGACGGCGCGCGGGAGCAGCCGGTGGGCACCGCGACCGGCACCGCCCCGGGACGCCCGCACCGATGAGCGCAACGAGCACCCAAGCGTGGTGGCACCGGCGCCATCCCTGCTGCTGCATGGGGCACACCGGGACACAAACCGTGGAGGAGAACAAAGCTAGGGGGGAAAACCCAAAATGACTTATTTTTAGCCCAACACAGAGCGGCGTGCGTGAACAGCAGGGAGGGGAAGGATCTTGCCTGACCTTGCAGCAGTCAGCTCGCCCTGCAGGAGGGGATTTGATTACGTCTCATCAAAGGCCGCTTAACTACAAATATTGCCAAGCCTAAAATTGCCTCATCCTTTTCAAAATCCAGCTCCAGTTAATTAACTCTCTGGTCCCTGGAGTAGGCTTTTCCTGGAGGATTTTTAGCCTACATTTTATTTTGCTCTAGAGTCTCTCCCTAACTATGCGTGTTTTCGCAGGGCTGCCGTGTGCGTTGGGGTACTTGGAGGGCAGATGTGTTTGGGGTTTTTTTTTCCCTTGTTTTCTCTTTTTAAGATGATCAAGTGGGAAATGCATCTTCTAGAGGCCCTGGAGGCCGCTCTTCCCGGCTCCCGGGAAAGCAGCAGAAGGCACTGGGGAGCCCTGTGTTCCCGAAGGAAAGGGCCGTTCCACTGGGCTCCCCTGTCCGGGGGCAGCTGGGACGCCCAGCACAGCTCGCACAGAGCACCTCACAGCAACACCTCGTGTTCCTAGGCACACGGGACATATAATTAGGGAAATGCAGCTGCACAGTGCTGAAGATGCTTTAGCTCAAGTCCCCTGGAGGGATTTCAGGAGCGAGCAAGGAAAGCCATCTGCTGACTCCAGCGTGAGGGTCAGCGTGGAGAGAGCTGGGAGGAACAGCACGAGCGGTCGGAGCTCTCCAGGAAATCTCTCTCAAGCATCCCGAGAAAACAAAGGTCACTCCTCTTAAAACAAACAAAAAGCAACCAAAAAACCCTCCAGAAAACACAAATGAAAGCAGAAGCCCCAGGGGCAAACCGGGAAGATGCTACTGTACCTTTCTGCTCAAGCAGGTCCATTTTGAAGCTATTTTGTATTCAGATTAAACATGGACAAGCATAAGAGAACAGAAAGGACATGCTAAATATTTATTTTATCTGATCTTAAAACCCTGACATCCTTAAGGGTTTTCCATCCGACTTACTTTCATTAGAACTTGGATCAATAAATATACGTTAGTAGGTTAATAGAGATAAACATCAAAGCACATTTTAGAATTAGACATTCAAGTAATGATGAAGCCAGAACAAAACCTTGTCACTTATAGATTAGTTATTTATGTGATCACTGAAGCAACTTGAGCAGAAAGAAATTCTGCACAGTGCAATCCATAACACTGCGGAGATGCTTTGTAACAGAGGGAGGTAAATCCCACCTCCAGCCTCATTTAAAAGCGGCTCGTTGCAGTCACTAACACCTGCCGGGCTCAATTCCTGCCATCGCTGCAAAACCTGCTGCCAGCAGCGACTGCCCCAGGCCACTTAGTGCAGCGAACACTTAGGGTGGAAAGCAGCAAGAGCCAGGAAAGCACTTGCACAGTGCGCAGCCAGCAAAGCGAAGGGCAGCGAAGCACTGCCTGCAGGGATGGGAACTGCACACTCCAACATTTCCAGCTTTCAGGCACAAGAACGAGGATGCACCTGATCCTCCAGAGAGTTTATCTCTGTCAAATAAAGAATAATCAATAGGACRGGAGGCAAGGCTAGGATCACTTTGCTTGCAAACTCTGTGCAAAGTGCTTTGGACTTTGAAAAGCTCCAGCTGCAGGAAATCATGTTGCAGCTGTGGTAAGATGAARCCAGCACTTTAAGATGAAGGAAAATGTCATTTCTACGGGACTCTGAAGCCAAAACCAATATGCACTGGCAACAAAATACAAATGTGCTTATGAAATGACATGAAAGAAGCAGAAGACATTCAAGTAATTTCTCTTTTGTAAATTTATATGAGATGTCCTGGAGGCTGAAGGCAGATGCAGACCCTTCTGCACGGGTCCTTATGGGGCCGCTGCTGCGGGCTGGCTCCTCACATGCAGCTACTCTCACTCTCAAGCCTGGGCCAGTATTTTCAAGCCCCTGCAACCCCCCTGCACGACCCCACGATGYCCCTACACATGCACAGGTGAGCTTCAAGGGACCAAAGCCCATGTGAGCATCGCCTGGGTGCAGCATGGCGCAGCACTCACATCGATGAGGTCGGAGACGTCGTGGATGTAGTACTTGCTGACAGCGGCGTTGGTGGCTGCCAGGTTGAGCAGGTAGTCGTTCCTGGCCTTGGTACACTTCAGCTTGTTTTCCGAGTACTTGGCCTGTCTCTGGAAAAGCAGAACGGGTGTCAGAGCACACACGGACGCCCCGCACGCAGCCGCTCCTGCTGCAGGGCCTGGAGAACGCGGGAGCAGGACATCATCYTAACAACCTGTGGCACAAGTGGCGAAAGCAGGACTGGTGCAGTAGCTGTTTGGGCTGCGAGCGCGGGGTGCTCAGGGTGCCCACGGCAGCCGAGGGGGCCCGGGGCCGACCCCCCGAGTCGGTGGACACCCAGGGCAGCCTTGGCCCGGCCTCCAGGCCGCGTCCCTCCCCGCTCACCCACCTTCTCCTTCATCTTCTCGATCTTCTTGATGGAGCTGCGCCGCTGAGGCCTGTCCTCGTGCCGCAGCAGGTTCACGCTCATGTCCCCCGCCTTGTTGAACTGCTTCTCCTCCTGCTTCTCCGCCTCCTTGAGCTTGCTCTCGGCACTGATGCTCTCCGCGTGGTACATATGGTAGGTCTTCATCACCTGGGGAGCAGCAGCTCATGAGGCCCTGCAGACAGCGGCCTCGGCGCAGGGTGGCTCGAGCCGTGGACACCTCCGCCTTGGAGGACACCATGGCTCCATAAGGACCAACATGACGGGAAGGAAAAGCCCTTAAAACTAAGCGTAATTCTAGCCCCTTCTCCCAACTGCGCGGAGCGGGCATGGAGCAACTCTTCCCGCTCGGGACACGCAGCGCTCCTTGGCCAGGGGAAACAGGCAGTGACCGGCGCACGCCGGCTGCTCCACAGCCAGACCAGAGCCCCATGTCTGTCCTAAGCCACTTCTGACCCAACCGTGCTCTGCCTGCACTCGAGCTTGCTGAGCAGGTCCATCAGCGGGATGAGTTTCTGACATTGGAGGCGTCCCGAGGGTGGAAGAGCTGCAGGCGTCCYGCACAAAGGGAGCTGGTTCCGCGAGCACCGGACTCTGGCTCTGCGCGAGGCAGCGAGGACAGCCCCGCTGCAGAGGAGGGCGGCAGCCCAGGGGAYGCTGCTCTGCTGCAAGGACGGCTCCTCACGGCACGAATCCAACCACGGCAGCCACTTTTAAAAATAGAGCCCCAAGGGCATGCTGTGATCACTGGAACGGAGCTGGCGAGGAGCACACATCTGCTCTGCTCGCTCTATGCCTTTAGTCACGCTGTCCCCTCTCATTAGGTGCCCTGGGGACGCGGATGCCTTGCTGCACATCGCCCCGACACGCGGGGGCCGTGGCAGAGCGAGCTGCGCGGGCGCCCTCGCTGCTAACCGCGACAGTTCCCTCACCGAGAGCGCCGCCCTGGGAAGAGTCCGGAGAAACCGCAGGACCCCACAGCGCGGAGCRCCCGGGAGCTGCCCGAGCCCTGGCAGTCTGGTAGCTCTGCACAGATGTTACCCACTTGCTCGCTAGCGATGAGAGGGGCTTGCCTGAACTAACGCCCTTCGCCGCCTCCGTATTTCATCACCAAGGAGAACAGGGGAAGCAGCCTCCAAGCTGCCTCCGGGAGGACCCGCTCAGGAGGCAGCACCGAGCCCAGCGCCGCGGAGGCCAGCGCCGGTGCGGGAGGCTGTGCCAGCGGCGCGGGAGGCTCTGTGCAGCCCCGCGGGACCACGACAGGCAGCCTGAGCTGCAGCCCTGCCCGCCGGGCGCCGTGGGGAGCAGCGCCACGGCTGTGGCCCCAGCTCGCCTGCAAACAAGCTCATTAGCTGCAGCAGGGAAAGGAATGTGTTCCAATGCTCGCTATTTAAAAACACAAGTTGTGTTTTCCAATATTAATAACATGTTTTGGATAAAGGCGGCCTCCAAAGAACCAGCCATTAGCGACASTGTTTGCTGCCTTCAGCTACAGAGCTCTACAGCTCTGAAGGGTCCGTCACTCAGGGCTGGCTCAGGCCTTAGCAGGGCCAGCCTCAACCGAGGCGCAGGAGGGCGAAGCGGAGGCCTGGCAGGGGAGGCGCTCAGCACCGTGCGGCCGGGACCCAGCGTGGTCTGCGAGGTCCGGCCCGGCCAGCGCGGCCCCGTCCCCACAGCGGCACTCGTCCCTTCTCAGGGGGCGCGAGGGAAGYGCCCTGTGCCGAAAGAGGGGTCATTCCTGCAGCCTGGCACCGGCACGAAGCCCCGGAGCGGGGAGGCCCGGCTGGGCTGCTCTCCTGCCGAGCCAGGGCCCGTTGCTGTTACCRTCTTTAACCTGGGTGACAGATCATCAGAAATTATCCTAATTAATTTGATTCCCTTCACGCTTCATAATGCTCTTCCACGATGGCTYGTGGCGGCAGCTCGCCCAGGTTAATGCTACGGTCTGCACCGCCGCGCTGCATCGCGCAGCGCCTCGCTAGCTCCACACACCGCGCAGCTCCCGTCACAGAGCTCTGCRCTGCTTTTCCTCAGTCCCCTTCAGCCTGCCTTCAGCAAACACGAGTGCGTGCAGYGCAGAAACGGCCTGCGAGCAACGGCCTGAGAGAACCTGGATCGCTACCGYGTCTGCCGGAATCTGCAAGCGGGAATCAAAATAATGAAACTGATTTTAATTCACAACTTAATTATTTCTGTGCAAAACGTTCCATGAGAGCTCTTACTTTACAAAGCAAGTCATCTATTGCTTCTTTTAATGAAAACCCAGGCAGGTTTCTGTAGGTTTGTTTCTTACCACATCGACTGAGTCCACAGAGGAACATGCGTCAAAACAGCAACAAGGCTGAATTAAAACCCRCTCAGTTACTTTGGCTTAAGCTTGAGACAGCAAATGCCTGAGAAGTCTGTAAAAACATCTGTTTTTCCCTGCATGCTATATGGGATTCATTCCCCTCTCCAAACTGAGCGGGGCTCCAAGGAACAGGGACATGTGGTTTGGGTAAATGAGGCCCCAGGGCTGCTGAAGACGGATGTCACTGCAGGGACAGGCTGGGTCTCTGCACGAGGTTTTGCCACCAGGCAGAAAGTTCACCCAAGTACCCAAGGCTGCTGCGAGCCCGAGGTGCCCAAAGGGCTGCAGCGGGCGTGCAAGCACCGCGGCCCCAAGGGCCAGGAGCAGCCGGTCGCCTACCAGCCCAGCACGCTCCTGACAGCGCAAGAACAGAAAGCTGCTTGCTGCAGCAGGGCTGCCTGGGACTGCACACATTTACATACCCTTGCTTGCCCAGCAAGCCTTGCCTTTTTGTCACATTTTACTGCAATTTCTGCAATAAGCCCGTCCCTTTTAGACATCCATTGCCAGCAAGTTGGCATAACCAGTTTGTTATGTTCATTATGTTAACTGCTAGGGCAGCTCCAAGGGAATCAAAGCTGCTCCAAGAGCTCCCGTCTGTTTATCCGGTCAAACCTGCGCTGCACACGGCAGCCAAGGAACAAATGGTCGGATCCAGCAAAGCCCAGCTCTGCCGCACACTCCRTGGGACCAGAACCACCCTCCATGATCTCCTCGAGGAGCTGCAAGAGTTTCAGACCTCGTTGTGCTTCTCAGCCTCAGGACTGAAATGGGCCTTCACCCAACCTTTCTGTCCTGGGTTTGAGTTTGAGCATATGGATCCGCAGGGATTCAGGAACAGTTCAGCTCTCGTTAATCCCTGTTTGTGGTGTGTACTGTGTTGCTGTAACTAACCTCACCCAGTCACTACCACCAAAGTCGCGGGTGAAACCCAATGCTCCTCAATGCAATCCTGGATCTCTGTGGGCTTCTGAGCCCCGCCGGACCAAGCRGCTCAGCCAGGCTGAGCCCGTCCAGCAGCCGGCACAGAAACAAGCCTGGCACGGGAAGATTTATGGCAGATATAAATGATGCCATTCACGGCCTGTTATTTAGGCCTGCTTTTCCAAGATGATGGAATAAAAGGAGTGCTTGGGAATAAACCTACCGCAGTACAATTTATGTACAGGCAACAGACACAACTGAGGACAGCAAACGCAGCATCTGACTCTTCCTACCCAAGACAGCCCTCAGGCTGCCTCACGCATCCCAAACCCCCATGAATAGAACAGAACAATCCCTGAGGGRCAGGGGCAGCAGGAACGCGAGGCGCTTTCCTGCGAGCCGATGCGCGGAGCTGCGGCTGTGCCAGTCCTGCAGCTGCAYGAGCCCTGCACGGGGCTCGGCGGCAGGAACTCGCGCTCCAGGGGTCCCGTGCGGGGGCCCCGGCAGCCCCATGGAGGAGGCCCAGGGCCAGGCCCGGATCGGCAGCGCGGGTGCAGAAGAGGCACGGGGTGGAAGTGCCACCCGGGGGGAAACTGGGCCCGCAGCAGCAGTGCGGGAGCGGCAGTTTGGACATCAGYGACACCAGATCCGTGCGACATCGCGCCCAAATGTTCCCCTTCCTGCYTGAGCAAAACCACCACGCACCCCGATCCGCTGCCCGCTGAGAACGTGCAGTCCGTCGTGGCGGGAGAGCCGGGGATCCTCCGCCTCAGCGGAGACGCCCCCGAGCACCAAGGCAAGGACRGGCTGCGATAACCGCGGGCCAGCAGCGTCGCTACTCACCGTGTACAGCTCGTTGGTGACCTTCAGGAGCTCCTCGTGCATCTGCAGCCCGATCTCCTTGCTCTGCAAGGCAAAGAACAGGGTGAGACCCCYCACGCTCACAACATACAGTGATAGCAGGGGAACACGTTGGGAAGGAGGGCAGTTAAACTAGGGGAACGTCACCTCTCCCACGTGCGTGCGGACCCTGGGAAAGCTCCGCTTGGCACCAGCAGGGCGAGCATCCCGGGGCTGCCCCCCTGCCCTCCCCGGCGCCTGCTGCGCACGGCGCTTCCCGGCTTCGCTCCGCACCCTGGGCAGGGACACGGCTGCAYGGTGAGGCTGCCCTGAGCCCGAGGGGCGCCAGGGACCTCATTTACCCTGCCCGCATCCTGCCCGAGCYCTCCCGGCGTCGGAGCGGGCAGGCGGCATCCCTGGCGCTGCCCGGCCACATCCACCCTCTGCTTCTTCTGTTATAAACATTGAAATCAAAACACAGACGGTCTCCTCTTCCCATCGGCCTAGGACAGCAGCGCTTGGAAGTTTAAAAGTAAACCATTTTCTTTTCCATCTATTTTCCATAAACCCCTATCAAATAAAATGTATATTCCTATGCATGAGTACATATGGCAAAGCAAATGCAAGCACAGTGTCAGAATTCCTGCAGTTCTGAGCTCTGTTTGTCCCCAGACAATGCTGTTCTGCTCCCCACTGGCAACAGCCCATTTCAGTGCCCAGCCGCCCTGCGTGGCTCCCCTTTCCACACCTGCCCACCTGGGCACRTGTCCCGCTCGGCCGGGCAGCCTGCGGGACGTGGGCTCTGCTCCGAGCTCTGCATCTGGAAGGGCACGTGGAAGTGCACGGTGCCAGTGGGATATGGCTCTCCGGATGCAGCTCTCGGTGTGGCTGCCGGCACCGTGCTCCGAGGCAGGGGGACATCCCACCTTAGAGATCCGCATCTGCACCAGAAATGATGCCGTCCCACCCCAAGCCCTCCCTGCGTCCCCAAAGCTCCCGGCTGGCCTCCATTTCACACCGGCCCCAGCACCCAGCCCTTCCCAAAGGGAACAGGGGGGCCGGAATCTGCCCCCCTTCCTGTTGCCACCAAAGGGAGCACAACAAAGTCATAATTTTCCAGCCTAAAATTAGGCTCYTAAATGGAGCGACAAAAGGTGACCCGCTGTCAACAGCGTTTCCTGCTCAGGAGCCGCACGGCTCGTGGGGACCGCGGGCGAGCGCCGCGCTCAGAGCCCGGCTCGTGGGCAGCCTGGCACCCAAGCGCCCGGACACTGCCTGGAGCACCAAGGGCTGCTCCTGTGCCAAGAGCCTCCCGACAGGGATATAACAGGGATCTGCTCTTCCGTGTCCTCCCCATGGCTCCCCATAGGCATTGTGCCCCTGCCACCCTGTGGGCCCTGGGACAACCAGCACCCAACAACCGCAGCGACTCCCTGGGTCGGAGCAGGGAGCCAGCACCCACAGCGACAGCTCCCGAATCCCGGCACGGTGCCTCCTCCCAGCACGGCTGCAGGGKCTCCCGCCTCGCTCCGGCCCTTTCCACCCTCCCCTCTCACACCAGAAATCCTAGGAGCACCTGGGGAACTCGGCCCAAAGGCCACATGCAGCGGGTGAGCCCCAGGCTCTAACAGAGCCACCTGCCCCAGATGTCCCGGGTGGCTYCGGGAATGCTGCCCCGGCAGGAAAGCCTCATTCCCAGCTCGGCAGCTTTCACCACAGTTCCTGCTGCTGCAGACAGCCAGGGAAAGCAGCAGCACGGGCTCCTGACAAAGGTGGCTTTTTTTGCTCAAGAAAAACCCTTCCTCCTAGACCGATGCCACTTCTTCATTACGCCTCTACCCTGGGCACTGCGGTATGGGACATAGTTAAATTCACGGCCATGACACGTAATTAAATCCCAGGCAGGGAATAACGCAGCACAGTTACTGCAGGCGGCGATGCTCTGCCTCGAAGCGGCGGTTCCGCACTTGGAAAAGCACCAAGGATCTGTCCCGGCCTCCACCGGAGGCAGGAAGCAGCGGGCGCTGCCGGGAGGAGCCGCCGCRTCCCTGTGCGGAAGCGGCTCCCGGCCGTGCCCGGCCTCCCGTGTCTTGGGAGCCCTGCAAGCCGGCAGYGCGTTCCGCTTGGAGCCCAGACGATGGGCAGGTGCCATCGCGCTGGGGCAGGTCCCTCTCCGAGGAAAGCTGCTGTCCTGCTTGGCASAGCAGAGGAGAGCCGGGCGCTCACGGACAGCGGCTCGGGGCACCGGCACCACGGGCTGTCGTTACCAGGGCTTCTCACCAAGTGCTGCCACAMACTGAACATCCCGCACGGCTTTCCTGCACCAGAACAGTGACCAGCAGAGCACAGTCCAGGCCTGCCGTAACCAACAAGGGATGTTACTGTCAGGTCTCCGCAACCCAACAACCCCTATGAAATCTGGCTGCAGATCACGGGCCCCGGGAGCAGGCCCGGAGTCAGGAGAACACCCTATACACATCCTTGTTTCTGCCTCCTGTCACTCCATGGCTGGTGCCCCTGCTTGCAGCAACACGTTCAATACTGAATTTGGAAGCATTTCTGGGAAAAGATGTACCGTCCACCTTGGTGTGGGGACATGAATCCCCCGTTCGCCCCCTGGCAACCAGGGCCCAAGCGCAGACTCGCATTTTCCAGCATCAGCTACAGGCACCTCCAAGCTCTGCCCTGGGACCACGCCTGGATGAATTGCTTCATTCACTAAACTCTGCTGTCAGGTATTCCAGAAGGAAAAAGCTTTCGGTTATAACTGGGATTTCGCGGCGCGCGGCCGCTCTCCATCGCGTGGCTGCGGAGCCCGCGCAGCAGCGCCCAGCCCCGAGCGGCCCCGGCCCCGAGCGGCCTCCCACACTCATCGCCAACGCCAGGGTCACCACAGCAGAGACGAGATGCAGCAGCTCTAGTGCTGTGTAGGAGGCAGCCACCGGCTGAGTCCAAAGGGCCGTCCACCCCACCATGCCGCGTCTCGCAGCGGCCACAAACGGGTTATTTTCTGCATTTTTGAACCTTTTATCTGTCAGGGGACTTTTCAAGCAAAAAGTTTCAGTCCTTGAGGAGCACATGCCCCTTTTCTAGGTCTCCCTGACTCTGTGCAACCYAATCAGGAAAGAAAATCAAACGGGATTTGCAAGGCAGGCAAGCCCCAGCTCTGCAGGGGATTAACTGCTTTCTGCTCTGTTCTCAGCAATTCCCARTTTTCGCTCTCTCGTTGTCCTGCTGGAGAGCACGGAGCTGACCTGCGCACACAGCTCCTGTTTCCCCTCCTGGAGGCCGGTGCAAAGCTCCCGCAGAGCCCAGCCCTGCGCTCCCAGGCCAGGGAGTATTTTTCCTCACGTGCAGCACTTGGCATGCACTTGCCCTCCGCTGTGTTTTCCTCCACCCGCAGCCAGTTAACAGCACAGGCACAAGGAAGCCCGTCCAGCACGCCGCCACGCAGCGATGTGTGAAGTAAGCGCGGCTCCCATGTGCACATGTTCTGCACACATCCATCCCTCCTATTTAAAGTTTGTTGTCTCTGTCTCCAATTCTTCCACCTGCCAGTTTTAGCAGTCCAATCTCATCAGTTCTGCAGCTTTCACTGTAAGCTTCACACATTTCCTTTCTTGGCTTTGCTGCTTTTCTTCGAGGGAGATTTCAGGCCTAGAGTTTCACTTTTATTTTCAATAGCCTTTTTCCTGCATCTTCTGGCTTCCCCCTCCTGGGGCTCCCAGCTGTTTCCACTTACCAGGACCACCTCACTAACAACACTTCTTTTCTCCCTTAAAAACATATGTATTTGAAGATATTTTTTATTCTCTCCTGCTGTTTCTCTAAGAAACAGTCTCCGTTTTGGAACATGCAGAGCCGAAGGGTGGGTCGACCCACTGGCCGTTTGGGGAGAGCCTGCAGCAAACACCAGCCCGCAGCCCCGCCAGGGAAGGGGAAGGGGCTTCCTGTGCACCCCGCAGCAAGGCAGGAGCGCGGAGGGAGCAGTCTCGAGGCAGACACGGTGCAAGCGGCCACCCAGCTCGAGCRCCGTCGTTACAGCCGGCAAGTTTGCCAGGGATTTGGGAAACGTAACAGCCCCTGCCCAGCCCCACTCGATGGCCCGCTGTGCCTCGGCTGCACTGTGCTGTACCTTGGCTGTGCCTCGGCCATACCTCGGTCATAGTGTAAGCCGTCACGCTGGCCTCCCTGCAGCAGGATCTTGCCTGCAGTTGGCTCCGTTAAATCTCTGCACCACAGATCACTAAAAATCTAATCCCAGCCATTCAGAGAGGGATTTTTTTTCCATCTTGCGCAGGTTTGGGGCACGGCCAGAGGCCTCGCAGCCGGCCCCGACGCAGCCGGCTCGGCACGGGCAGCGGAGCAGCCCATATGCCGCAGGTCACGGGCAGGGCAAAACACTTCAGTGGAGATGAACAAAATGCAGAGCCCCAATTTGCTGATGAATGACCCATCGCGGTGCCGGGCGCCGCCGGGGAAGGCGAGGGGAGAAGCGGCTCGGCCCCGGCATCTTTGTTGGCAAATTACCACCCTTCGGATCAATCGATTCTCAATTATGCACGTCCCGGTACCCCGGATCCTGCACGGCCTTTCCTTTGCTGCAATTGTTTGCATTTACATAATGAAAGTGCAAAGCACAAAACCTCCCCGTTCCTCTGTGTGCCCACAGCATGTCACAGCCCATTAATAAATTYGGGAAGGGAGGAATTAAAAGTGACATCTCTGGAAAAAAATGCTACTCTAATTTACCATCAAAGAGCAATCTACAACAAAACCAAACAGCTGAACCACAACTGCAGAAGCCCTTAACCCTTGCGGGGCCGCTCTGCTCGCCCTGCAGCTCTCCACTCGCTCTGCTGCAAACCAGATTAATGCTGCAAGACGTGTCCTCTGCGCAAGGAGCTGCCAGCCACAGGAYCAGGCTGGATGTCTGAGCAAGGTAAGAGCCCTTCACCATCGTGCTCCTGTCCCCGCACACGTGGCCAGATCTTCTCGCCAAAATCCTGCAGGGAAATGGGAAACGCAGCTGCAGATCCTCTTCTGGGCACAGAACACAAGAGGTTAAAGAAGAACCTGCCTGTCCCCAGAAGCTCAGCCTCCCCAGCCACATTAAGGGCAAATGATGGCACAAAACAAGCCTTTTCAGTGATTTAGCTGATCATTATTTCTGAGCACACAGTGAGTCCTTCTACAACACAACCCTCCGGGGAGGCACGCAAGTGAAATCGCAGATCTCCACAGCTCATTTGTGCAGCCTCCCTTCGATTAAAAGCAGGTGCTGGCCTTGGCAGGCTGCAGATGGAGTCCGCGCCGCTTCACCTTTGCGCATGGGGGAAGGGAGGAACAAGCAAGATAATTTCCATAAAATRAAAGCATTTTGTCTTAAAGCTAACATATAAATTCAGAAAGGAAGGGGCAGGAAGGGGGAGGAGGCAAGCACAAAGAAATAAGCCCACTAAACGCATGAAATGTTTCATCCTCTTGTCCTGGTGCACTGACTTACGGGGAAGAGGCCCGAAATGTTGTGTTTATGCCCTTGCCTGAATGTCCTGAATTGGATGCATCCTACTGGAGTTTAAAATGAGATATTCCACACACGGATTCTGGAGGGGTACGCAGAGAGTCTAACTGTGCAACTCAACACATRTTTCACTGTAAAATAGCAGGGAGATGTTGAGACTGAATTAGCACGGACTTAACCAATAATTCCCAAATCTGCCCAATTTCTGGAGGCCAGAGGAAAGGGGAAAGGGACACTATCCTACATCAGATCAGCAAACCAAATCTTCTCTTGTGGTTTAATTTCTAGGTCAAATCCGTAGAGACTCTGCCCATGAAACTATCACATTAAATTTGCTCTCTAATTAACTAAAACTTGAAGATATTAACTGTTTTTAGCACATTTCCACTATTCAGAAATTCTGACACGCCACCTAACTTGTCCTGCTCCCTCAACTACAATTTCCCAGCCACCCCTGTGGAAAACAAGCCATAGCAATGGCCATGAATACAAGGAGGCCAGAGGCAGAGCAAAGGTGTGCCCAGCGCGGGCAGCAGCACCAGGGCAGCCGCGAGCAGGCGCCCAGGAGAGCAGCGAGGGGCCAGGACAAGGGACCTGTCCCCGAGCACGGCCGGGCTGCCAGGGATTCCCAGCCTCAACCTGCAGCCGCATCACGCCAGTGCCTGTGGGAAGGCGGCTCCTTCCCACACAGGACGTTTGTGCAACTGCTCCAGAGCCCAAGTTGCACATTTGACATTCAAAATGGTCCTAGGACAAAAAACAACCAGCCACAATACTCTGGTACAATACAGTGTGCATATAATACCAATGATGCAAAAAAAGTACTTTCCTTTTCACCTTTCTGTCCAGTGCCTGCTGACCATCCACAACTTACACTGTATCMGCAAAAATGAAGTCCTGGCTTCTATTCTCTTTCTACAAACTGCTTACGACTTTTTAGAGCATTCTGTGCCGTGTGAGACGCTCTGCAGAGGAACAGGCTGCGAGACCCGCATCCCAGGATCCCTGTGTGCCCCTCATGCTCCATCTGGCCTCAGGAATCACTCATAACTCTGCACCATCTAAGGGCTTTGTCAGACCACCACTCACCTCTTTTCCAAATGATCTATTAAGCCCTCCTCTGATACTCCCTTTGCTTTGCTCCCTGTCTTTCAGCCACTCATTAATCCCCATAATTATTCCTCAATATTACTACTATTCCTCAATAGTTTCTTTGCTTAAGAACTTCAGGGAAGGCCCTTTTCCAAGGTCTTTAAGTCRCTGAAGATATCATACCCGCTTTACCCCCATGATCACTGACTCCTTTGAAAAGGCCACTRGATTTCCCAGGCAGGGTTTTTCTCTTCAGAAAGCTGCACTGATTCCTCCCTTTATCTGCCTCATTGTCTGCTAATTCTGCTCTTACTACAGCCTGTTTTTAAAGTCAGATGTGCTGATCAGTGCTCTGAAAAGCCCTTCAGGAGTCTCTAAAAAAAGTCACCACACTTTCCACCTTCCATTCCCCAGGCACCCACGGCAATTTAAGCACTATGTTACGCATCATGGCCAGTCATTTGACCATTTTATATCTCAGTTTCTTACACACTGCTGTGTAAGGATTATCTGGAAGGCAGGATAAATGGCAATCTATGTACGGATTTGCTTTAAAACAGCTACTGACAACTCAGCTGAAAAAGATTCTCCAGTCTGGCTATCCCCCAAAGCAAATCTCCASTATAAGCTTTTCCATAACAAATGCTGGGATAAAGAATTCAGATATTTGCCATTACATCTTATTCTTTTTTGCCTCTCAGCTCCCTCATTCAATGTCCATTTTCTTTCTTGGCATTTTGGGGCAGTTTTTGTTAGCTTTCATGCTTTTAGCAAGTTGTCTCTGAAAAATCTCACTGGGTCAAAGATTTAGTGTTTTTGACATTGTCACTTTTCCGAGTTTGAGCTGTTCTCTGTGCTGCTCGCTCGGATGCAGCAAGCAACTCCTCGGAATGCAGATACCTCTCTGCTGCTCTTCTACCCGTCGCACTCGTGGCTCTGGGCACTGGGGGTGCCCAGACTCCCCGCTGCGGCTTCGGGCACAGCTCGGGCTCCGCTTCCATCGCCCAACTGCTCCCTGCCAGCTGCGCCGGGATCACAAAGCCCTGCTGCTCTCCACTGGTTCTGAAGTCTGCATTTTCACCAAGACACTTCAAATTGTTCTATAACTCTAAACACTCCCATAACAGAAAGATGGCTAAGTTGAACCCCAAAGCTCTAAGTGCCCAAGAGGCACTTCCATCCTCAAACAGCCTCTGCTTTGTGCAGAAAGCCACAGGAAATTCCTGTTTTTTGAGGCAAACACAAGGACGAGTCCTGGCTGTGCAGAAACATTCGCGGCTTCATTACCTTTTTAAAGAGCCTGATGACATCCTCACTGATCTGTGAGAGCCGCACGATGACATTGTTCATGAAGATGTCGTTGAGCGTGGCGTGATCCCTGCTCTCCCGCCGCGTCTGCGTCAGGACCAGGTACCAACAGTTCACGGGGGAAAGCAGGTGCTGGTCTTTCCTGCAGAAACAGGGAACAAAAGTCCAAGAGGCCACGTGAACCATTCAGAAGGTGGAACGGGGTATTTCATCGGTCTCCCCGTTCCAGCGCGTCTCCGGGCGTGCCACGATGCAAACCCTTCAGGCAGCCGCCCGGACTCGCGGGGAAGGTTTGCACAGCAGCTTGCACCAGACACAGAGGTTTCAGAGCGCTGAGCCCACCGCCCATCAATTCCTTGGTACCCACGTGGGGTCTTCAGCAGGGTCCAGGGGTTTAACATACCAGCCACGGCGCCATAAACACGCAGTGGGCAAGGAGAAAGTCTCACTGTGTTTACCCAGATCCGAATTGATCCATCCCAAACACGGCAGCATCGCTAGCGCATCCCAGCTGTGTCAGCAGCCTTCGAGCCCCACGCTCCAGCCCTGCTATGGGGGAACAACTGCTGCTTTTCCTTAAGCTCCCTCTCCTCACACGTGTCACACCGAGAACCAGCTTTTAGGAAACAAAAATATCTCATCTCCATCCCTGTAGGGCAAAGAGACACGAGCACGTTCTGCTGGAGAAAAAGAGGGCATGTTTGCCCAATCCTTACAGCACGTGTTCCTAGGAGCTTCTGGCCTCTAGGGCTTCAGATGCTTTTTTGGACTTGCTCACTTAAAGCAGATTTATAGCCCTAGAAGTTAGAGTTTTAGGATGTAACGTGAAAGACAAACACAGAAAAACAGAACGAGCTCAGCAGTAAATTACTCGTGGTGCTGGCATCTGTCTCGTGCTTGGGAGACAGAACAGGCAGCAATTTGCAGCGGCCGCTGGGAGAGCTAGGGCTGTCAGAAGAGCAGGCAGAGCCCAGCAGCTCGTGCACGCCGCGCTCTGCACCGAGCCCGGCGCAGGGCGAGCAGGGAACGGGCCCTTCCCCGGGGTAAGACGGAGACTCAGGAGCCACACGAAGAAGAAACAGCAAACTAGACAAATAGCACGTAAAGAAAATAAGCAGCTTGATTTGGTTATGTTCATTTTCCAGTCTCTCTGTGGATTCCTCATATTTAATAATATATTATTGCAATTAATGTAACATAATAATATATTACGTCCATTTAAAAATTGATGAACATGCTTGGAAGCCTCAGAGCTGACCTGGCTGCCTGAGCCCAAACACTGCAAGGAACGAAGCCTGTGCAGGTTCCCAACTGAAGGGAAYGAAACACCACGGGAGGCGACGCAGCAGCGAGTGCCGGGGCTCAGCGCTCGGCCACGAGTTTTTGCACATAAAAATGGCAAATGTGTAAAAAAAGTGAYCAGAAATGGCTAAAAGGTCAGGAAGGTCCCCTAGGTTATGGCCAGGGAACATTTTCCAGTTGCTGCAGGTTCCTGCAGCTCAGCACTGGCTTTTTCYCCCCTTCTCTCCTCACTCTGGGCTATTATTGTGGCTGCGCTTGGCTTTTGGAAGAGAGCCCGTTTGCCATGCAAGCTGCCGTGCTGCACTTTGCCCACTGAACTGCACTGGAGGAGGAAATCTGCTTGCTGAAACGTTTCAGCTCTTTCCCATGTCAACACGCGATGTGCACACAACACAAACGTATTCAGGTACGCTGAATATTCACTCTGCTCTTCCCACAGCGTGCGCTGCCGGCAGCAGCGAGCCCAGAGCGCAGTGCACGTCCGCGCAGTCACCGTGTCAGCAGAGCAGGAGGGCCAMCCACGGCCACGTGCACCCACGTCGCATGCAGCACCCCGAGCACTCGGGAAAGGGCCCTTGGGGGGAAGCTTCAGCGAGCAGCGGCGCCACGGGTGCCGAGCCAAGGGAGCAAGCTCAAGCACCAGCAAGTGGAAAGCAGTGCTCGCTGCAGGAAGGGTAAACAGCCTCTGAGCAGCGAGGCGCTTCCAGGCACTTGTGCGTAAGGCAACGGCAAACCTTGACTTGCGAGAGAGWCCAAATAAACAGATTAAACAGGATTTAGTAATATGGAATAAATAGGATTTAGTAATGGAGCAGCAGCAATCGCTGCCGCTGCAATGGAAAGAGAGGCCCGAGGGCTGGAGGAGGCGGCGGGGAGGAGYGGGGCACGGCTGCTGCCACAACGGATGGGAACAGCGCCCGTCCCACGGGCACAAGAGCRCCAGGGGCCCTGCGGGCTGGTTTAAGGATATATCGCCACTGTGAATGTGCCCATCTCCAAAACTGTACCGGTGTGTGCAGAGCAAACATATGTGTTTTATTAAAAAGACTTTCATAAATTAGATTTCCRGAAGCTGCCTCCAGGACCGAGCCAGTACACAGCTCTGTGCAACGTGAAGTACTAGAGATTGGRGCAGGCACAGGAATCCAGGTTTATAAGAACAGGCTTACCATTATTTACATTACCAAAGCAGTGCCTGAATTCAAATCCCTTAAAACAAATGAAATAAATAAAAAATAATCAAGAGGCTGGATTTCTCCCCGGTCCCTAACTCACATTTTCACTGCRCTGCTCGAGGCAGCCTAACTGCGGCAGCACAACTGCATCGTGCCGGGGAGAAAACCTATCTCTGAAGAGCAGGTTTCCAGCTCCTGCTGCACAGTGATAACACGGGAAGGCCACCARTGATGCTCTGTGTTTAATCAGGTTTTCAACTGTGCAGCTACTCCCCYACCCCAATCCCCGACAGAAAAAGGGAAAAAACAGCTTTTAACAAACAAGGAGGTGGAAAGGTCCCGTCCCTCTCTGGGAACGGCCGCTTACTTGAACTGGTGCTCCCTCGAGCTGCGGATCTTGGAGGAGAAGCGCTCGGCCAGCTTCTCCAGGCTCCGCGAGTACTCCAGCTCGATCTCGGCTTTGCGGCGGAAGAATTCCTGCAGGTCCTGCAGCAGCTGCAGCCGCGACTCCGACTGCTGCTCCAGGCATTTGAACTGCTCCACAAGCTGGCTGCGGATCTCTGCGTGCACACAGGAGAGAGGGGACAGAGCGTGAGCGGCCCGTGCCAGGGCCTCCACTCAAYGGAAGCGTTTTTCCAAGTGAGCGCTGAAGAATTCCATTCACTGCTCGTGCATTAAATACTTGGTCCTTGTCAAAACAAACAGTTGCATAAGTGCTTAGAAACTAACCCTTAGGGCTCTTCAGTTGCTTTGCTGAAGCTAAAAAATACTACGTCCATTTATCTAGTATTTCTTGGAATCCCCATTCTACGCATACAAGCCCATGTCAGCYGTTCATAAACAACCACTTTAAGCCCTGCTAAAAAAGCTGGCAGTGGAGCCCAGACAACGACAAATGCCACTTCTGTCCCACTGATGTCCCCAACCACCCTTGGGTCAAGTGGCAGATCGAGCCTCCCTTTCACTGGGGTGTCTGGAGGACTTTTCAGACCTCCTAAATTTGAGCTCCTAAGATGTCCCCAATGTGTTTCACGTTATTTTGCTTTCTGATAGGATCTTCAAAGGTTGTGACAAACACAAGAGCGTCACCCAAGCCCCGAACCAAGCGGGGCCTGGCTGGGAGGGACAGCCTGCACGCRCAGAGGGAGCAGCATCGCCCCGAGCGCCAGGACGGCACCCGTGATAACAACAGGGATCATGCAGGAGTTCCCTAAATCCATCTGCCGTCCCGGGGCTCTCCTGCCCCGGCAGCGACCCGCRCTGGCGCTCGCCTCCCACCGGTGCCCTCCTCGCAGCCACCCTGTGTTTCTCTCCCGTTGCAGCAGGGTCTGTACCAGCGTAGGGCCGGCACCAGAGCAGGGCTGGCACTGCAGTGGGGCCGGTTCCGAAGCGGGGCCGGCCCCGCAGCAGGGCCGGTTCTGGCGGCACAGCGGGGTCGGCACGGGCAGCCCTCGGGCTGCGCCTCCTGCCCTCACAGTGGGTGCAGGGCTGCCTTCCTGACAGGCCATTTCCAAGCCTTCCCCTTCCCGCTGACAGCCGCTTCCTTCCCACACAAGGTCAGTGGAAATTTCATTACATCCCATATGGATTTCACATTCCCGCTGCTGCTAGTGCCAACACGGGACCTGTTCTACAGCTCTCTGCTTTGCTGAGCAAGCTGGAAATAGATTTTTTAACACGAATTTGATCTCCAGCTCTCTCCTCACAGCAGATTACAGCAAGGAGCTTTCTAGAACAGTCCTTGGCAAGAGGCACAAGGCTCCGAAACACAGGGAACATTGATAATCTTCCGAGTGCCTTCRGCTCCCTGTCTCTGCCCAGTCCCTGCAGGAGCTGGGCTCCTTCCCGCTGCTCCTTCGGTCCTCCCACCGGCACCGAGGCCTCCCGGGTCGGGCACCGCAGAGCTCCCTGCCCTGCCCCTGCTCATCCCAGAAGGGTTTTGGGGGAGCTGGGGGTGGTTCCGTGGCCCCGGCGCCGCGGGAGAGGCTGCAAGGGCCGTTTGGAYGTTACCCAGCAGCGACCTGAGCGAAGCGCTGCACGCGACCTGTAAAACCACGCTCCAGAATTGCTGCAATTCACAGCACTGGCAGCGCGAGCAGCCACACTCTGATCTGGAGGCAGGTCTGTGTTTGGCTGGACACTCGTATTCCCAGGCACGCTAGTGAACCGAAGCTGGGGCAGCCGCTCACACCGCGGCGTCTGCGAGCTCGGGGCTGGTGYAACTCAGCAGCCGCTTGTGCCCCACACTTGTGCCCTGGGGAGCACCATCCTGCTTCCAGTTGCAGGCTCTGGCTCTGGAGCACRCCGTGCTTTGGAAGGAGCAAAGTGCTCCGGACGAGCCATGGCCACGTGGGACGCTGCACTGGAAGCAACGCGCTGCAACGCRAGGTCAAGGCGAGCGCAGCGCAGGCTGCAGTCCATCGCCAGCAAGGCGGTGCTCCCACCCACAGCCGCTTTAGGACACCTTCCATATGGCCTCATCCTGAAACACAGCAAGGAAACCCTCTTGGCACCAGATCAGGGCCGCTTCTGCAAAGGGACGTGTCACCAGGGACAGCAGCGACCACGCGTGCCCTCGCGTGCGGGATCGTGGGCAGGAGAAGCTCTGCGTTTCCCACATTCACAAAAGCCACGTTGCGATCCTGGCCCCAGCAGAAGTCCCACTAACTTCAGCRGAGCTCGTGCTGCATCCTCCGGCAGCACGGGCGGGTGGGAGACAATCCTGTTCTCCAGGCRCTCTTTGCAATCTCCCCGCCTGCAGCAACCCCTGTCCCCGATGCCGGCAGCATCGCGCGCTGGACACGGACACTCATCCAACGGAGCAGAGCACCCAGTGCTCCCTGATCCATGCCAGTGCTCCTGGCCTCAGCCCCGCTCTCCTCAGCCAGCAAAGGCARTAAAAAACAGGGTTTATTCTTAACTTTGGTCTCATCTCGAGACCGAACTTTCCACGGATAGAGGCTGTCTGACAACAAACATAATGGTGTGCCGCAATGATGCTAAATTTAACAGCAGAAACAGCATTTCAAACCACGCACACACTCGTGCCAGATGGAAAGGCCAAACCCGCCGCCGAGGAGACCAGTGGAGGATCTGGAGGGAACAGGGCCCGGCAGGACGCATCCCACATCCCCCCGGCTCCGCAGGGATCCGGCACGTCACCATGGGGCCTTCTGCCATTCCGCCTTCCCAAAACCAAGGGGAACAAACCAGCTTTAGGAGAGGAATCTCACTTCTGCCTGGGGATTACTGCTCCGAACAGGGCAGGAAATCTGGCCGTGTTGCAGGAGGCTGGGGTGGGAGTAAGGGACTAAAAAGTAACAAAAGGAAATAATTGAAAAAAAAAAAAAAATCAGTCCCCCACAATTCTGAAGTCCAGAGCCCAAATACATTTTCTTAATAAGAAAAACAATTTCAAGAATTGATGAAAAACTATGCAGCTAGTCACAAAAGCCAAATCTGCAAATTCTTCCACGGGGCGTCAGCAGCTCCCGGACGCGGAGCGCCCCAGCGCAGAGCCTGATGAATCCCGGCCGCTGACGACTGCACTGTTTTCTAAAGAACTTGGCAAGATGTTCAGCTTTCTTAGCTAAGAAGGGAAAAACAAAGCAGGATTTAGTCATTTAATATTCTCTCTTCCAATAACTTACACATCTGTGCTCTGCGGAGATAGGGAATGCTTCCACGGGAAGCGAGCGCACCGCGCAGGGAGGCCCGAGGTGAGGGCGAGCGCCCGCGCAGCCGGATCCATCTCYCCCGGGGGAGGCCCTGGGGACGAGGGCCTGGATGGAGGGCACTGGGTGCCACCGGTGTCCGTGGTGCTCGGGAGCAAAGCACCTCACAGCATCCTCCTGCCAGCCAGSCCCCAAGAGGAGCAGAGCCCTCCTCACACACCTGGATTGATTCACCCCCTCATCAATCATTATCCAAAACACCTGAACAATCACTATCCGAAACACCTGAACACTAGCCACACGTCAAGGCCCCAAACCAGCGCTTTTCCACCCAGGCCTGCCCCACGTGGAAGGGAGGCCAGCTGGGATCCCTGCTCTTCCACTCGTAAACACGAGTGCTTACGCTGGGATTACCAAAAACATGGATGTGTTCTGACATTTCGTTTCCATCCATGGAAATGAGGTCTGCGGTTTCCTGGGGCTACTCGTGAGCCTCGGCTCTCATTTAAGGAGGYTACTAAGGGAGGCAGAAGGGTCCTCGGCTCGGAGGCCTCCTCAGCACACCCAGACTGCGCCAGATCCGCAGCCGGGGCCGGGAGCAGAACTTCGGGCTCACGATCGACTGCAGATCCATTTCTGAGAGACCCAATTTCAGCCGTGGAGCACTTGAAATCTGTATGAATTTRTCTCCAACATAAAAAGCGTCTCTTCAGCATCCTCCCTACTGTCCTCAGCCAAAGATTTCAGGAAGAGAATGGAAAAGTTCACCACATGACACCTTAAAATGGAGGTCAGCACTGTTAATTATACAACTAGAATAACTTCCTTCCCTTTTGGAGGAAGGTCCTTCCTCACCCTKAATTGCCATTTCAACCGACATCACTCAGGATTTTCCAGCGGAGATGTCTGGCAGAGCCATGTAGAAGGCAGAGGCAGCGCGGCGAGCGGGGAGCGAGCGGCAGCGCACACGAGTGCACGGGTGCTTCGTCCTCCGCCCGCAGTGCGAGCACGGGGCCGAGGCACGGAGCCCCGGGAGCGCCCGGGGCCGAGGCACGGAGCCCCGGGAGCGCCCGGGGCCGAGGCACGGAGCCCCGGGAGCGCGCGGGGCCGAGGCACGGAGCCCCGGGAGCGCCCGGGGCCGAGGCACGGAGCCCCGGGAGCGCCCGGGGCCGAGGCACGGAGCCCCGGGAGCGCCCG